TTGATTTCAAATGTGAATATGTCGAAGAACAGGATCTTCACTCTCAATATAAAGAATGACATGTCTCGATGCTTAAAGGCGTGTGTGGATGATCTTTTGTGGTTGTGGCATTTAAGGTTTAGCCATCTCAATTTTGGTGGACTCAATTTACTTTCTCGCAAGAAGATGGTTTATGGCTTATCACATATTGATCATTCCGATCAATTATGTGAAGGATGTGTCATCGGCAAGCATTCCAAAACTAGCTTTCCAAAGGAAGCATCTTATCGAGCAAAGAAGCCACTTGAGTCGATTCACTTTGATGTGTGCGGTCCAATCACTCCTCAAACATATGGTAATCATTGATATTTTGTTACTTTTATTGATGATTTTACTCGAAAAACTTCGGTGTATTTTTTGAAAGAAAAGACAGAATCGTTTGATACTTCCAAACAATTCAAGAACTTGACTGAAAAGGAGAGTGGTTATTTCATTAAAGCTGTGAGAACTGATCGTGGAGAAGAATTCACTTCAGCCATATTCAACAAATTTTGTGAGAATCTTGGTATTCGACGATTCGTGAAGGCTCCATATTCTTCACAACAAAATGGTGTGGCTGAACGAAAAAATAGAACATTCTTGATATGATTCGCAACATGTTGGAAAAGCAAAAGTTTGTCGAAAGAGCTCTAGGTTGAAGCTATTATGTGTGTTGTCTATCTACAAAATAGATGTCCTACATATCGACTTGAAGGCGTAACTCCACGAGAAGCATGGAGCGGGAGAACACCAAGTGTTTCACACTTGAGAATTTTCGGGAGCATTGCCTATGCTCATATCCCGGACCAAAAAAGATCGAAGTTGGAAGACAAGAGCAAAAAGCTCATTTTTATCTGGTATGATTCCTCATCCAAAGTTTATCGATTATTTGATCCTAATACTTTGAAAGTATATATAAGCAGAGATGTCAAGTTCAATGAAGAAGGCACATGGGAAGAAATTCCAAAAGATGAAGCAAATGCTCATGGTGATTCAAGCCAAATGGAGTTGAAGGATCTCTCTTCACCTTCTTTTTCGATATCCTCTTCAAGTTCATCACCACCAACTTCTTCAAATGGTGTCGATGAACCGCTAGCGCCAAGATCAGGGAGATTGTCTGAGATTTATGAAGCTACCGATGAGCTTCACCTTGTATACCTTCTTGTAGATTTTGAAACACTTGTCTATGATGATGTTGCCAAAGAAGAAAATGGAGAAAAGCCATGAATGAAGAAATTGAAGCCATTAAGTAGAATCAAACATAGGAGCTTTTTGATCTTCCGAAGGACAAGAAACCGATCGGTGTCAAATGAGTGTACAAGGCCAAAAAGAATGAGAAAGGAGAAGTGACAAGGTACAAGGCTAGATTAGTCGTGAAGGGTTACAAACAAACGGCCGGAATCGACTATGATGAGGTTTTTGCCTCTGTTATTCTCATGGCAACGATTAGATTAATCATTTCTATTGCAGCTCAAAATCATTGGCAAATTTATTAAATGGATGTCAAATCAGAATTTTTAAATGGCATTCTTGATAAAGAAATTTATGTCGAGCAACCCAAGGGGTTTATTGTGAAAGGTCATGAAGATAAAGTACTGAAGTTGAAGAAAGCTCTATATGGGCTTAAACAAGCATCGAGAGTGGAATTCCAGAATTGATGCCTATTTCAAGGCAAATGGCTTCTCTCAATGTCCATACGAACATGCACTTTATCTGAAGCAAGAAAAAGGTGATGCTTTATTAGCTTGTTTATATGTCGATGACCTTATTTTTACAGGAAATAATTCAGCAATGATCAATGATTTTAAGGCATCGATGGTGAAAGAATTTGAGATGACGGATAATGGTCTCATGAATTATTTTCTTGGCATCGAAGTGAAGCAAAGTGCAAGTGGGATTTTTATTTCCCAAAAAGGATATGCAGAAAATATCCTTGAAAAATTCAACATGAAATATTGTACACCAGTCAATACACCGATGGAATGCGGAACCAAGCTTTCGAAGTTTGATGAAAGTGTCGATGTTGATCCAACGTACTATAGAAGCTTGAGATATTTGACATGTACGAGATCGGATATCATGTATAGTGTTGGAATTGTGAGTCGATATATGGAGAAACCAAAATCATCTCATCTTAAAGCGGCAAAGAGGATACTTCGGTACATCAAAGGTACTATTTCTCATGGCGTACACTACTATCAGTCTACATCCTTTCAGCTTAGAGGTTATTCGGACAATAATTATGGTGGAGATATCAATGATCGAAAAAGCACTATAGGTTTTGTGTTTTTCTTATGGCTGCTCAGCTTTGGTCGGTGAGCGACCACCGACCATGGCGAGGTTGGCTGGCCTCGCCTGGGCGGGGCCGTCGTCTTCCACCACAGGTGAGGCCAGGCTAGATCTGGCGACGTTGACCTTCGCCGGGCATTGCCTTCTCTCGGTGAGGCCACCATGGTCTGGGCGAAGATGACACCCAATGAGGTAGCTGTGGCTTGGGCGAGGGCTCCCCTTGCCGGGGACAACCTCGCCCAGGCGAGGCCGCCAGCCAAAGGTGGAAAAAAATGAAAAAGAAAAGGAAAAGAAGGAAAAAAGAAAAAATATTTAAAAAATCGAAAAAATATTAAAATATATTAAAAATTATCCACGTTAGCATCGGTGGTGCCACGTAGGCCAGTCGGTGTCCACGTCATCAATATCCAGCCAAAATTAGCCGAAAGGACTGAATTGACATAAAGACAAAATGTTTAAGACTCAATTGGCACCAAAAAAGGTTTAGGACTAAATTGGCACCAATACAAAAGGTTTATGACTTTTTCAATACTTTTCCCGGTTTTGCTCGCCTGAGTCGCTAAAGCCCTTGGCACGTGGAGGAGCGTGATGATAAAGGAGGTAGACCTCTAACCAAGTCTTCTTAATTAACTTCACTAAGTGTCAGTTTGTTTCGTGGAAAACATTTTCCGGGAAAACACTTTCTTCATTTTCCGGCGTTTGGTTTGCTTAAAAAAATGAGTCAACGGAAATGTTTTCCTAATCAACGGAAAAGGTTTCCTTACCAAAGCTTAAATTTAGGAAAATGATTTCCTCTTTAAAAGAATCGGAAAATGTTTTCAGAAATATGATTCGCTATCGGCGCTTGGACCTGAAACTCTACGCTTGGGCACGAAACTCCAACGTTGGTTCTCGAGTCTCAACATCAGGACTAGGTCTCGGCGGCCGAGCTCGAGACCTCGATGTCCAGGGCTCGGGCCCCGGGCACCAACACCCGGGTCCATCAAGGTTGAGCCCGAACCCCTGGTGCTCATACTCGATAATTCAACACTTGAACTCGGGCCCATAAATGCCGTGCTCAGGTCCCCGATGCTCGAGCTCTAGTCCAGACCCTCCAGCCCCAATTCACAATGGCCATGCGCACGTCATTGGCGCTTAGGCTCGAGTCCTTAGTTAATGAAACATTTGTTTTTATAAAAATATTTATTTAAAAAAATCAAAATTTTTTAAAAAATCATTTATTATTATTTTTTAAAAAATCGAATTATTTATTTTTTTCTTATCTTCCCTTTTCTTTTTCTTCTTCTTTAGGCCGGTCGCCGGCTAGCTTGCGGCTCACCAGATCGAGGCGAGCTCGGGCTTGGCCGAGGCTGGAAAGCTCGAGCTCAGGCTTGGTCGAGGTCGGCGAGCTCGAGCTCGCCTATGGCCATCGCCGGCGAGCCTCAAGCTCGTTGGTGGCCGTTGTCGTAGTCATGGCCACGGTTCGGAACCGGCGGTTTCGGTTCGTGGCCATGTGTGAACCGAAATCGGAACCGCCCCTAGCGGTTCCGGTTCCGATTCCGAACCGACCGGTTCCAGTTCGTAATTTAAAATTTTTAAAAATAAATTATGAAATAAAAAAAGAATGAATTATAAAAATATGAAATAATGAATTATTCAATATAAATTATAATCAAAATGAAAATTGTAGAGGTGATCGGTTCCTTCGCCGTGCTAGAACCGTAAGACCGGTCCTTTAATTTTAGAATTAGGAACCAGGCAGGCAAATCATAGAATGGGAACCGGACCATTGGTCCGGTCCTGTTCTAAAGCGATCTAATGGAACCCTTTGCTCTTAACTAGTAAAGGATCGTAGCCACAAAAGACATACAACTTCATATGCTCATGGCTTGGCTTGGGTTTTATAAACAACCCATTTGATGTTCTCTTCATTCCCATTCGATGTGGGACTCTTGGCATTTGTATGAAGACAAGCCAAGAGTCTCACATTGAAGGTGTTCAAGGCAAGCCGAGAGTCCCATATCGAATGGGAATGAAGAGACCATCAAATGGGTTGTTTATAAAACCCAAGCCTAGAGTTCAATATACCCAAGCCAAGCATTGTAATTGGAGATCAATGCACTTACAATCCATGGCAATTAGAGTTCAATTTGTTTTATAAAAAAAATTAAATAATGAATTTTTTTAAAAAAAAAATTTCATTATTATTTTTTTTTTAAAAAAAATTTGGAACTGGAACCGGGCCCGTAGGCCACGGACCGGTTCCGATTCCGAACCGCAGGCCCTGTCAACGGGTCGGGCCTGGGTTTGACCGGGCCGAAACCGGCCCGTGGCCATGACTACGTTGTCGGCCGCTCGTGGCGGAGGAAGGTGGAAAAAGAAAAGAAAAAAGAAAATTAAAAAATTCCAATTTTTTCAAAAAAATAAAATAAAAAATAAAAAAGAGAATTCAAAAATTCAAAATTTTTTTTTACCTAAAATAAAGCCATGAAATTGAAACATTTTCCAATGAAATTCAAACACCAGAAAACAATTTTCATTATATATTTCTAAACAAAGGAAAACTAAGCATATTTCTGAAACAAATCTGTAATACCACCGTGAGCCGTTGAAGTTTTTCGCCAAACATTTTTCGCCAAACAAACCCACCGTGAGCCGTTGAAGTTAAGATATCCCAAACAAATCTGTAATACCATAACTAGGCTCTCTACGTATTTGATTTCCCTGTGCCTCCATGGACTTTCCGGTCGAAGATGTATGTACATTCCTTCGTATTTGAATTCTCGGGGTAGGAAATTGTGAATGATCGAGGGAAACGTCGATCAAAAGCGGCGGCGGGTCCAATCGGGGGACGGGGTCTCGCCGCGGCGGCGGCGGCGGCGACGAGTGGGAAGAGCTACTGTCGGGAAGCTGGCCAAGGGAAAAAAACCAGAGTCCCACATCTCAGATCTCCGCTTCTTCTCGGGGACGGAAGAAATGGCGGAACCGATCGCGAAGCCGGTGATCTCCGCTCTCGTAGCCCTGGTCCTGGTCCTGGTCTCGGTCTCGTCGGCCCTCGCTGGTCGGGACGCCGTGCCGTTCATCGTCGCTCACAAGAAGGCCGCCCTCGGCCGGCTCAGATCCGGCGCCGATCGCGTCTCCGTCACTGTCGACGTCTACAACCGCGGGGCTTCGTAAGTCGGGTCGGTTCTTGTTTGGAGGTTTTTTTCGGGGCGTTCGCGGATCGAGTGGAGCTCGTGCGTGGCACGTTCGTTTGGTTGACCGGAGGATTAGCTCGATTGGTCTTTTCTTTGGTTGTGAGTTCTGTTTGGTTGCTGTTCGGGAGCGACATCGTCGTCCGTTTCGTGCTGCGTGTGTTTTTCTTTAGCAGGAAATCAGTGATTCCGGTGATGTCTTAAGCAACAGTAGCCTGCGAATGGTATCCGTCATTTGATCGCGACATTTGCATTGCTTTCTTGTTGCAAAAGAGTTTAATTGTCGGATGACGCTGTTGCATGGATGCACTTGTTATCTTCGGCTTAGCGTTATTGGGATCTCGAGGATGAGTTGAAAGACAGAGGACCCAGATTAGACATGACATGTGGAATTCCACGAACATTTCTACTAGATGTAGAGCAGTGGCGTGCTGTAGCATAGTATGTTTTTTTTTTTTGGTAAGGTGCTGTAGCATAGTATGTTCATATGTTGTACAAGCGGTGTTTAAGTGGACTGTTCGTGTAATCAGATTGTAGTTATGTATTACTTACCCTGGGATATACGCATTGCCATGGACAGATCTTGCGTGAGATGTTTCTTGCAGCATTTCTCATCATTGTTCAGTCCTCACAGAATGTGAAATGTCACCCTTCTTTCCCGAATGTGTTCCGACAATGTTTGGGATCCTGTTTGTCCTTTGCTTGTTGGATGACTCTTGGGTTATAGCTCATTTGGCATGCATCATTGTTCTCTGTCGCATTAAGCTTACTATTTCATCGTGGTGGCAAAATTTAGTAATTCCTTTTCCTGCCATTATATCTGCAGGTCTGCCTATGATGTGAGTCTTGTGGATAATAGTTGGCCATCGGATGTCTTTGCTGTTGTCAGTGGTAACACATCTAGGACATGGGAAAGGATCGACGGGTGAGTCTTCTTTTTCTTGCTTATTTGCTCCATGATTTGCCTGTTATATATTCTGAAAGTGTGGAGGTTCATGTCTGTGTATTGTAGTGGTGGTCTTGTATCACACTCTTTTGAATTGGAGGCCAAAGAAAAAGGGATGTTTGCTGGGGCGCCTGCAGTAATTACATTTCGAATTCCCACTAAAGCTGCTCTACAGGTGCAACATCTACTCTAATGTGACATGATCTCTCTCTCTCTCTGTCTCTCATTGATCTGTTGCTTACTCGTCAAATTGTTGGTTTTTAGGAGGCCTATTCTACTCCTATACTGCCTCTTGATATCCTCGCAGATAGACCACCACAGCAGAAGATTGACTGGGTAAGTTACTGCACTATGTCTTTATATGTTCGAAATGCCATTTCTTAGCAAATGCATCTTTTTTTATGACTGATCCAGTTTCTTGTTTTTCATGGAATTGTCTACTTCCTGGACCGGGTTATTGCAGGTTAAGGTACGAGTAGTCGTGATCTTTCTTCTAATCTTTCAGTTTCAGCTTAAGTGGTTGTCAATGGATGTCATGGTATTTTGTTCTAGCATCTCTTTCTTGTCTGTTTCTGGATATATATATGAACCTATCAAGCAGTGAGTGTAAGTGGAAAAAGGATGTGCATCCATATCCACAGCAATAAAAGGAGCTAGGATGCCTGGCAATGTCTGCTTTTATCTTTGATTTTCCTTATCATCTCTTCTTTTTAAGCCTTATAATTATCTAGTCTAGTGGCATATCACGGTGCGAAACAACACTCTAGGTTAGCTTCAGTCTGCAGTGGTTGATTTGTCAACTGGCCATCGTGATTTTACCTCATAAAAGTGGATAATGTGATTCTGCTGTCTATTCTCTCAAACCCTTGGCTCACTTCCTCAGCTTTTTGAACTTGATGTATAGTACGATCATATCAGGCAGAGGGTGTATCTTCTTTTTCTCTTGCCACTAAGTTCTATTATTCTCTACTGCAGAGGTTGCTGGCACAGTATGGATCTCTAGTTTCTGTAATTTCCTTCGTGGTTCTCTTTGTGTACTTGATCTCCTCTCCATCAAGATCAAGTGCTGCCAAAGGTAGCAAGAAAAGGCGCTGATCAAAGTAGGCTCGTTTCTGATTAGATTTTGCACTGTTGCATGCGCGAGTAATTAATCAGACCATTCTATCTTCTTGGGAACCATAAAGTGACCTTTGCGGTCAGAAATTTCCTGAATAGATGGAATTTTGAGCTTGAGAGGACCAACTAATTTCTAGGTAGAGTAACATGAAGCTGGTCGAGAAGTTAAATTTAGTTGCCTATGTACATTTTGTGATGAGCCATTAATTTTTCATTGAATAGCATGTCCGGCTTCCAGTTCTATTTCACTTGATTATATCCGGTATCGTTTTTCCCCCAGCTACGATTGCATGTTTGTGTGCAAAGTGCTGATGAGGCACACGAGATGAAGGCTGCATCGTTGTCTTGTTATCTGCTCTGAGATTCGAGTAACCCTCGATTTGTTCCTTCTTGCAAGGAAATTTTGCTCATAATTCTTGACATGAACCGTGGGATATGACTTCATCACACACTGTCTAATTTATTTCCATGCTCTGGCTATTGCGTGTTGATTGGTGGTTATCTTCTCTACACTCATACACGTTTTGGGAAGTTTACTTTTCGACCAATGAATAAACTGCTAAGTTATCTGAAAGAAGTAGGCCTCCAACCAATGTTTTCTGGAGCAATGTCGTCTACCAATGGAACAGATGCGAGGGCGAACGAAGTCTCATTCGGAACGAATGCGAAGTTATGTGGCTTATAGCTTTGGCGCCGTGGTTCTAAAGGTCGGCTCCTCGTGGAATTAGCATGTTGGGGCTGTGTAAAGCTCGTGCCTTTCGTGTGAGCTTTGTCCCAATAGATATATGCCTTGCTGCCCTGGTACAAGGTGTAGCTCGGAGCTATCTGCTTTTTGGCCCCTTCTTTACACTGGTGAATATGCATAGAGACCATTTAACCAGAAGGGACGGAATTTGAGCCATCAGGAGCTCCTGATGGGCTATGGCAACTGAAATAGGAGATGCACTTGTCCACGCAAACGTTTGCGTTCCGATGTCCGGTGTAACTCAATCTTCGGCTTCCGGTGTGATCATCGGTGACAGCTTGCGATCACGAACTCTGGCCTCGTCGCAAAAGGTCAACTCAGATGAGATGAGAGGCTCGTGCCAACATTAGGAGCTATCATTTTAGTAGCCGGTGGCTCAAGTTAGCATGGCCCAAGGATTTTAGGAAAACTAGACCCCAGAACAGTTCCCATGTTGCTCTCCTCGCTTCTGTCATGAGTCATATGACCCACCTTTTGCCTCCTTAGTTTCATTGCCCATCTTGACGACTCTGCACACACTGCAATGTGCAAACAGTTGTGGAAGGAAGAAGCCGCCAAAAAAAACACGTTGGACGCTTTAGCCAGACGAAGTTTCCTTTGATCGAGAAATGACCGACTGTTCACCGTAAATTATTGTTTCCGATGTGATTGTGGGTGAACTCCGGCTTGGGTTCGAGTTCGCTTGACACGAGTCCCACATGATCAATGGAAGCGGATATGTCGAGTTCATAAACCCCGGTTCAAGTTCAAGTAAGAGTATCTTCGGACCGCGTCGCAATCGAGGTCGGTTCCCCGCGAATTGGGTTGGTCTTACTTCTAACCACTGAAATCCATTAATGTCTATCATGTGCCCTAATCAAAATTTGATGAGTGAAATCTGTGATATTTCACCCCTGCCTACTAAGAACAATTCAGCAAGAATCGATTTGCACGGGGACATTTACGAAGCAACCAAATAAAGAAGATTTTCAATACTGATCTGATATATATACAATTGATGTTTTAAAATCTAAGTAATATAATAAGCGCCTTACAATTATAGGGAATCCTTAACAGAACCGCAGTTAATAAATTACAGACAGGTCGTGTTTCGCCGTAGCAATTAAGAAAGCCACGAGATAGGACAGAACAGAGCACGGCTTCATCTCTCTCTCTCTCTCGCTCTCTGCATTTACGAACACAAAAACAAAGAAATCAATGACAGTTTGAATTCATCTCCATCGTCGCGGAAAGGGCAAAGCAGGAGCGAGGAAGATGAGCTACCAGAGAGCTCCTCACGACCCTTACCCTCCTCCACCAGGTGAGATCGAAACCCCCCCTTTCCACCGTCTCTCTCTCGCTCCCTCTCCATGATCGCCTTTCTCGACCGAATCTTGTTTTTGATCATTTGGGGCAAAAGCGACTTCTTTCCTTCTGATGATCTCTGCTTTGCACTTTGGTTGAATCTCGCTTTCGGCAGGGTACCCATCTGCCCCCCAGCTGCCGCCCGGCTACCCTTCGGCCCCGCCGGGCTACCCTTCGGCTCCGCCGTTCGAGGCCTATCCGTACCCTCAGCCTCCGTTGCCGCCGCCGCCGCCGCCGCCTCGGCCGCCCTTCGAGGGGTACCAGGGGTACTTCGCCGGAGGGTATCCTCCGCCGCCGCCGCCGTCGCTGCCTCATTACCACCATCACCACTATGATAATCACCACTATAACGATCAGCCGGGCTGTGCTTCCTTTTTGCAGGGCTGGTATGATGACTCTCTTTTGGGTTCTTTTTGTACCTTCAGCTGTTATTTTCTTTTTGTAAATTTAGGTATATTATGGTGGTGTTATTGACTTAGTTCTTGAGAATTGCATGAGGAGTGGAGAGAGATGTGTTTTTGGCTATGGATGTGGTTGCTGCTTTTTACTTGTCACGGGCTTCTGGTTTAATCTTTATGGGAGAGAAGGAAAAGAGATGCGAAGTTCATTGATGTTTTTGTTCAGTCGGGTTTGTGTGGTCCATCTTAATTCTTCTTGTATGGTTAACTGGGACACTTGGTTTTCGCAATGAATTCGAATCTAGGCACCTGGAAGTATTCTTCCCGAGATTGGGAAAGATTTATTAGGATGGAGAGGAGTTGAGAATCGAGAGAATTTGATCTAAAATTAATATGATTAGCATTTACAAGATGCTGTTGTAAGTGATATTGGATAAAGGTTTCTAGTGTTGAGTTGGATCGATATGGCCTTATATTTGGACTGCCAGAACCGTTGTTTTTGGATGACAACCGCATGTTTGGAGCTCAACTAGGAATGCTGACTAGTGCCGGTTGAGGACCCAAAGGATAGTGTTAAAGTTAAGCCGTTTCCACCCTCTCTTTTTGTCTCATCGTAATGAATATTTGCAATATTAAGATACTGCAGGGAGGTATGCCTTGATTTACCCCCAATACACATTTGTGTAAACAATGTTTTCGGCGGTAGCAAAGTAATGGACAAGGATCATTTTAGTTCACGAGGGATGATCAGTTGTCATCAACAAGCTTTCTCTCGCTCCTTGGTTGCTGTTTAGTTGCTACTGTTCCAGTTAATGAGAAAAATTGATAATTCTTATAGTCATAGCTCGAGAAACTCTTCCACTCTTAGTTTCCTTTGTGAAGCTCTCTAAAAAGCTTTTTATTATGTGGCAGAAATTGATACACAAGCTTTGACCTTTTACGTTGGCGAATAGGAAATGAGTTGGTAACTGTGCGGTTTTTGTGTTGCGCAGCTTGGCTGCGCTCTGCTGCTGCTGTATGATGGAGGAATGCTGCTTCTTTCTTCGCTGAAGACGGATGAATTATAATACCTGATGCACTGGTTGGTTATCGTTTGCGACATTGCCCATGAATTGCTATTATTGAAGATTGTTGTTGAATCTGGTATGTCTTTGTTATAGCTGTTTGCTGAGAAAGAAACGGTGTTCCATGTTTATTAAAGATACAGTTGTGGAGTCTGAAAGCATAGAGGTATTTTGTTGTTAATGGAATATATGTAATTTTCATATTAAAGCGAGTAAATAGTACCGTTGCTAATGGCATATATTTAATTTTCATCATTACTATATTTGTCATAGACACTTGCAATATAATGAATTCTAAACCTGAAACTTGTAACTCCAAAAGCTGATTCCAATAGCGGAGAGATTGCTTAGTGCACTGTGGTTTTTTCCTATTCGGATTTTGAAAAAGTTTTTCACATGAAAATTCGCGTCTTCTTTTCCATTTTTTCTCTTCAACAGTTCGCGTTCCTAACAACTAGTATTATATTGCAAAATGGTGGGAGCAACGAATATGAACGAAGGGAATGCGAAGATCAATCGGTTCGACAACAAGTTATTTGGATTTTGGAAGATACAGATAGAGAATCTATTGTTTCAAAAGAACTTACATTAACCTTTGTTGGGAGAGAAACCAGATTCGGTCAAGCAAGAAAATTGGGAATTGTTAGAGCGACCAAAATTGGGTTTGATTTGTCTCACGTTGTCGTGGAACATCGCCTTCAACATTGTCAATTAAAAGACAACTATGGAATTGATGATGGCCGGAGGGCAACTAAGATTGCATTGAGTAGTTCGTTTAGTCAGAATAACTTATAACTTTAAGTAATCTGAGATTAATTCTTAGCGAGTATACTCGTAGAAGAGAATCGGGTGAATATTCAAGCACTGCCTTGAATACCAAAGGTAGAGGGAAAAGAAATCAATGAAGTTGGAACCAATACTGTGGTAGATCAGAGTCTAGAAGGAGAAGCAAATTATGAAAAGAAAGTCCATCTAAGACGAAATTGTGGAACCTCAAGAAAGAAAAGTCGGTATCGATGTCAAAATCAAAAGAAGAGAAATATGTGGATGCAGGTCAAACGTTTGACAAAGATTCTTTAATTTTAAGCGTTGACAGTCCTATGCAGTCTTAGATTCTAGACTCATATGCGTAAATTGATTCCACTTCATCCGAAGAATTAATGGACAATTTTGTTGCTATAAAGTTTGGAAATGGTTATGATGATGATGATGGACTTTTGGATATTATTGGGAAGTTTGATGTTCACAAAAAGACTTGCTATCGGGTATCAATGGAAATTGCAAGATATCATATTTGTTTCAGACCTTAAGAGAAATTTGATCTTTCTATGTCAATTAAACAGTATCGGATACATCACTATTTTTTGGGGACTGCTCTTGGAAAATTGTTCAAGGTTAGTTGTACTACAGGGAACAATAGAAACATTATACACGACTAAAAGCAGTAGAGAAACAACGACATTGTTGAGGCAGAAGCTGATTCCAAATTGTGGCACCGTAAGTTTGGACACATGAGCGAAAAAGGGGATGAATGAGTTAGCATCAAAGGGTAAATTGTCTGATTTGAAGTCCATCGATATTGGTCTATGTGAGGATTGCGTTCTGGGCAAGTGGAAACGTGTCGGCTTTTCAAAGATTGGGAGAGAACAAAACAAAAAAACAGAAAGAGTTGGTGCATAGAAATATGTGGAGGCGCATTCCCTGGGAGGTTCGCGCTACTATGTCATATTCATTTACGACTTCACCATAAAGATAGATATGGGTTTGTTTTCTGAAAAATAAATGTGATGTCTTTACTGCTTTTAAATGATGGAAAGTTGAAGTGGAGAATGAGACCAACCTAAAGATTAAATGTCGAACATTTGACGATTGTGGTGAGTATGATAGCAAGGAGTTCAAGCGGTTCTGCGCAGAGAATGGAATCACGATGGCAAGAACAGTTTCCAACATATCGTAGCAAAACAGAATTACTAAGAGGATAAACATAACTATAAATGAGCGCGCAAGAAGTATGAGGATGCATGCAAGATTACCCAAGACATTTGGGCATTGTGAGCATATACATGGAAAATCTAGGAATAAAGCATCGAGAAGTTATTAAATGGCTATTAAGATGCTCGAGAGGCATCTCGGGTATATCACTATGTTTTATGAAAAACAATGTAACTTTACAAGACTTTGTTGGTACAGATCTTGATGGTGATTTGGACAATAGGAAGAGCACATTGGGTTATGTTTCTACCTCAAGTGACATTGCAATTAGTTGGATGTCTAGACTTCAGAAGCGTATGTGCCTCTTAACCACTAAAGCTAAGTACGTTGTTATATCTTAAGCTGGCGAGGAGACAATTTGGATGAATAATTTTCCGAAGGAGATAGGCAAGAAGTAGAATACCAGTGTTCTTTTCAGTGACAAGAGGAGTGCTAATTTTCTTGTAAAAAATCTGGTATTTCTCTCGAGGATGAAACACATTGAGTTGAAGTATTCCTCTGGAGTGACATAATCTTCTGCTGCCGGTGTGATCATCGCGATCGACGACGACACCGTATGCGGGACGACTCGAGCGGATCAAAATTTCCGAGATGATCTCCGCCCTCCCCCTCTACCGGAATAAAGAACTAAGACCCCCTCCGCTTCCAAGCCATTGCCTCCCTATTTCTCCATTTCCCATCCCGGCGAGTGTCGCGGTGCCGACGTGCAAACGAATGCCGAAGGAAGGAGCCGACGAGGATTGGATTTCGTTTCGAATCGTCAGCCGGACAGAAGCTTTTCATTTCTCGGAGACGAGACTCTCCGTCTTCGATTAAAATCATCGTTCTCCGACGCGGTCATGGGCAGACCCGAATTCGCGTGATCAGAATCCACTGACCACGATCTCCACGTACGAGTCCCCCGCGTGATCAATGGATGCGATCCATACCGATACCGAGCTCATGGATCCAAGTTTAAGCAAAGAGTTTCTCCGGATCCCCCCGTGAATTGGGGGGGGTCTAGACTCTTAACCACAGAAAACCCATCAGGGTCATTACCTTCCACAACAGATATTTGATAAATTGAGTCTCTGAAATCTTTTAATTTTTGGGGCCTTCCTCTTGGAATAACTCAAAGGGGAGTCCAATTATAGAATGTGCTTCGGGATATTTCATCAAAATAGCGAATAAGGAAGCCTGCCAACTCCTAACACCGATTGCCCTCGTGACATGTACAATCGGACATTTCGAAATTTTTAGACAAGTTTTTTTTTAATCAAATGTTATTAATAGCTTATTAAGAATTGCTCCGTTGACAAAAACCATCGGCGAGAAATGACACAGAGACAGTTGGATTTCGCCGTGGCAGTTAAGGACACCACGAGATAAGGGACAGAGGACGACGACGGCCTCTTCATCTCTCTCTCTGTCCTTCTCTGTCTCCCTCTCCCCCCCTCTGCATTTGCTGACATACGACAAACGAATCCCATGGCAGTCTGAATCCATCGTCGCGGAAAGCAAGGAGGCGGAGGAGGAGAGGCAAAAATATGAGCTACCAGATAGCTCCTCAGGACCCTTCCCCGCCACCAGGTGGAGATCGACGTGATCGCTTTTTCTTGATTGGCGAAATGTTAAGTTTCTTGGAACATTTTCTTGAATCTCGCTTTTCGCAGGGTACCCGTCTGCTCCCCACCCGCCGCCGAATTACCCTTCGGCGCCGCCGCCGCTCGAGGCCTACCCGTACACTCCCACGGCGGGGCCGCCGCCGCCGCCGCCTCAACCACCCTTCGAGGGTTACCAGCGGTACTTCGCCGGAGGGTATCCTCCGCCGCCGCCGCAGCCGCCGTCGCCTCCTCGTTACCCCCACCACCACGGCGATGATCACCACTGTAATGATCAGCCGGGTTGTGCTCCCCTTTTGCAGTGCTGGTATGATTGCTCTCTTTGGGTAGTTCTCGTCATTTTCCCCGTTTTCTTTTTGTACCTTCAGCTGTATGTTTCTTCTGGTAATTTCAGGGAAAAATTATTGGGATGTTATCGGCTTAGTTCTTGAGAATTGTATGAGGAGCGGAGAGAAATATGTGTTTTTCTGGTTATGGATGTAGTTGCTGCTATTTACTAGTCAGGGGCTTCTCATTTGATATTTGTTGTAGAGAAGGAAAAAAAATGCCGGAGTTCGTCGATTTTTCTGTTCAGTCGGGTCTGTTTGGTCAATGTTCATTCTTCTTATAATGTTAATACGGACATTTGGTTTTCGCAATGAATTCGAATCCAGGCACGGGAAAGATTCTTTCCTAGATGAGAAAGGGATATTAGAATGGAGAGAGTTTGGTCTGAGATTAATACGATCAACATTTACAATTTGCTGGTGCGAGTGATATCAGAGCAAGGTTTCAAGTGTCCAATTTGAGTTGCATCAATTCTGCCTTTCATTTGTCCTGCTAGAAACCTTGTTTCTGTATAACACAGCATGTTATGGAGCTCAACTAGGTATTGCTGCCTATGTGCCGGTTGAGAACCCGCAGGATAGTGTTAAAGTTTTGCTGTTTCCTCCCTCTCTCTAGTCTCCTTGTAATGAATTTCGCAATGTCAAGATGCTGCAGTGATGCATGCAGAGATTTACCCCCATTACCTTTATGTGAACTATGTTTTCAGCGGTAGCGATATCATGGACAAGGATCACTTTTAGTTCGCACGGGATGGTCGGTTGTCATCAACAAGCTTTCTCTTACTTTGTGGTTGCTGTTTAGTTGTCACTGTTCCAGTAATGAAAAGAAATGATAATACTTATAGTCATAGCTCAAGAAACTCGTCCACTCTTTACTTTCCTTTGCGAAGCTCTCTAAAAAGCCATCCATTATGTGGGAGAAATTGATGCTCAAGCTTTGACCTTTTACTCTGGAGAATAAGAGATGAGTTGGTAACTGTGCGGTTCTTGTGTTGTGCAGCTGGGCTGTGCTATGCTGCTGCTGTATGATGGAGGAATGCTGCTGCTGTATGATGGAGGAATTCTGCTGCTTTCTTCGCTGAAGACAGATGACTTACAATATTCGATACACTGCCCATGGATCGGATCACTATTATTGAAGAATGTTGTTGAATCTGGTATACTAGCTCAAATGTTTGGAGACTACTTCACATGAACTCGTGTGATACAATCTTGCTTATGGGGATTCTTGCCTCCTTTTTCAGACAATCTTAACATAGGCATCTTTCTTCGAGCTTTCTATCATCCCTTCTGGTGGGATTCTTTCGTGAATGCCTTATTCAGATTTTACTCCGTTCTTCCAACTTCCTTGAACGAGGGGAACATACATTCAACTGTGATCTGCTTCAGCAGGACCAGAACCGATTCTTACTACCACTAGCAAAAACTAAGGAAATGTCTGACATGAACAATCAGGTGACGCAAAAACTAGAATTTTTTCCCCAAACACGATGAGATGAGCTCCGGAGACCATGAAGAAGCTTGCTAAAATCACTGCAAAAGCATAAATAATAGGCGTATACCGGTTCAGAATTCACAGCTCCAGTTATGCCCGTAACTTTCCGGTCTTCCGGCGCAGCAATACAAGACATCATAATTGGAGGCAGAACGCCCGTGCCAGCGTAGCTAAAAAGAAAAACCTGTAAAGGGTGTGGCATACTATGGAATTGGTTTTAATTAAGTCAATCTGCATTCTGCACTGCATTTCCCTTCATACTAGAACACGCTTTCACTGAACTTCATTACAGCTAACAATAGCCTAAAAGCTTATTCCAAACCTGTAATATAACAGGAAACTGCGCCCTGCCTAACCAACCAGCATGAAGAGTCGCTTCTTTGAATTCATGGTGCTAAAGAAAAATCTACTTATAAGTAGAAGCACAATAGCATCTCTTCTGAATAAAATAAAAAATCACCATACAACTAAAAATCCACAAATTACGAACCTAAATGAGGTACAATGATGATACAACAGGAGATTTCGAGGCAGAGCCACAACAATGCACCTCGAGTGATCCCTACAATGTCCAAACATAGTTTGGTGCATCCTTCCTCGGCCCCACCAAGGTTCGGTAAAGGTACATCTTTTCTACTTTCTGCCCATCGTCATTGCAAGCCTCCATCTCATCGATTTCATTGATAATCTCCACGTTCAGCCTCGGCATCTTCTTTGCTAGGGTTTTGCAGCCTCCAAGGGTAACATCGCAGGACGACATCCAAAGGGATCGCATTGTTTCATACTTTCCCACGTCCCTCAGAAGTGCGATGTTACCAAAGGGGCTGTCCCTGATTTCCAATTTCCGAATCTTCTTGCACCCATTTAACACATAAAGCATTCCCTTGTCACTGTTCCCAGCAAATGCAATAGAAAGCATCTCAAGCTGTTCGGCGAACATGCCGATATAATTGAAGACCTGGTCAGTAAGAAGGCCAGAAAGTGACAAGCGCCTGAGACCCTTGCATGACTGAACAATAGCCCCGAATCCTTCATCAAGAGGCTGATTGGTTGAAGAATCCGGTTTTACGGGGTCGAGGGTGCACAACCGGAACCGAATGAAATTAGGGCAGTTCTGGGCTACAATTTTCAGGGCAGCATTTGTCATCTGCTGGCAGAAGTATAGCAATGAGTTAAGCTTTGGACAACCTCTGGAAATAGCAACCAAGCCTTCTTCGGTCACTGCAGCATTTCCAACTCCATAAGGATCAGATGGAAAAACCCTCAATTCCTGTAGTTCTCTGCAGCTTGAAGCCACGACTCCTAGTCCTTTATCTCCTATGCAGTCGAGTATCTGCAAAATTTTGCCACAGATTGATATGAAGAAGAATTTTACTCCCAGTAACATAAATATGAAAATTAATTCGATATTCAGCTAAAGGCTAAGATATCACACCCATAAGCGCTGAAGTTTTCTGCAACGACGGATTAACTTAGTTAGCTCACTTCCAGGGATCCCTGGAGCATAACTCAGATTCAAGGAGGTCAGGCTTGAACATATGGGATGAATAGCTGGTAGGCAGTAAGCAGCAACCTCCAAGAATCCGGATAAGCTCCTCATAGATTTGCATTTTTCAATTGTTGTTAACAACTTGTTGTAGGTTTCAGAATCTGGGTCATGGGAAAAAGAGCCCACGCCTAAGTCCACCAACTGAGGTGCTCGGACAAGGATCTTCTGCAGCGTGTCAAGAGGGACAGCACGGCTTAGCCTCAAGCTCTTGAGATTTGGAGATCTTGCCACAAGCCTCTCAAGCGCTGCTGAATTTATATCTCCTTTCAAGCATGCAAAATTTAGGGAGACAAGAGAGGTGCAGCTTTCAGGAAAGCAGTTTAGCCACTGGCCTCTATGATCGTCAACTTCATTTTCTTGCAAGTCCAGCTCCCTAAGAAACCTAAAACGTTCCAAGTTCAAAGAAGCAGATTAGGGAAGGACAGAAGCCAAATTCAAATCAAGTCCACTCAGGCATGTTGATCCCCATCATCAAATCAATTTTTTTACTGCATGAACCTCCTCTTGTGAGACCCTTTCCCACAACAGCACGGCATGAACTATTGGATAGGTTGCACCATCCACAGGCCATGATAAACTCGAGCACAATGAAAGCATTTTGGTAGTATTCAAGAAAGAACAAGACCGCTTAAGTATACCTCTATTTCATTCTTAAAACAGAAAAATAAAATAGAAACTAGGAGGTTGTAAAAACAGGAAAAGCCAAACATATGCTGCCATGCAATGTTAGCATCCAGAGGGTCAACTTGCATTGCTGCTGGAAAATTAGACATGCAAATTTATTCATTCTTATGTCTACGCAATATGATGCTAGCTGGCATGAACCACGTAAAAAATAGATCACGGATAGCACTCTCTTCCAGAATTGTAATAGCGTATCACAACCGTCGGCCTCAAAGAGAAAACTACAGTGACCCGATATCTACATTAGAGGCCATAAGTTCCAGCTGCATAAGGCTGCACAACAAGCATGAGATAAAGACTATATGAACGGATGCAGAGGTATATGACCAACCAACGAGAAATTGCTAATGATGGGTATTTGACAGCAGAGGGCTTTTTAATTCATGTGATGCACCGCATTTGGCGTATTCATCCGATTTTGGTTCTTCATGCAGCTAAGTTTACAGTCCACATCAACGAATTGTGCGGCACTGGCATACCTGTACCACTACATGGTGCATTGAACCACTTTGTAGGTGCTGCTTACAGCAGAATGTGATCAAATGAAAGACAATTAATAAGCATGCCTGTACCACTACATGGTGCATGTGGACCATATTCTAGGTGCTGCTTACAAATCCGTCAGCATGACCCATGAGCGTTCACCACATTCCTGTACTTGAATCCACCAGGTTTTCTATGGGTAAGCAATTAGGCTACATGCGGAACAAACTAAATAACCAAAATAACCAACTAAATAATCAGTAAAGTATTGCAGCTATGTGAGCGCACAACCAGAATATACATGAATAGGAGTATATAAAGAGACTACATGCTAAAATGCAAACGCAACTAGGACCGTAACAAATAAATCGCAGATTGTCCAGGCACGACATTGAAACATCAGAGTCAATCAACAATATGGAACTGCGTAAAGTTCTCACCTACAGTTGGCCGCTATAGCTGCAAGGCCATCAGTCGTGAACCCTTCGCAGCTAACAAGAACCAAAGACTTGAAATTTACAAACGATCTTGAAATCAGCTCAAGACCATCATCTGTAACCAACATCCTCTTCAACCTGAGCTCCTCCAAATTAACCCTACTCCTAGCCAATGCCTCGATCCAAGGGTACACGAACCCTCCCCAGTCATGCGGCACTAGATTGAAGTCAGCGAAATGGGGTTTTCCCTTCAGAGTGAGCGATTTCACCCCTGGAAACCTCGCGATCAATCTCTCGGGACTTATCGCGTAGCAATTCCCGATGAACACTCTCCGCCTGCTAAACCTCTCGATCCTATACCACGATTTACACACCAAGGAGATCGCGTTGCGGTCTAAGTTCGACGTCACGAAGTCGAACACGTGCTCCATGACTTCATCCGGAAAATAATTCATCTTCCCTTTCCCAACAGTCAAATCCCAATTCCCACGACCTTCCCAGGGAGGAAAAATAAAATAAAAAAATCCCCAACTTTCCAAGCAAAATGAGCACCCTCAATCCATCCCTCTCGTTGGAGAGGCCAAAAAAAAACAGAACAAGAAACCCTAACGAAAAAACAACCTAATTCGAACACGACCCACCAACCGAAAAGGAGCAAATAGCTCGGAGACACACAAAAAAAAATGCACGGAGAGGTCAAGCTACAACCTGCGAACCGAATCGAAACCTACCCAACTCAAAAAAGAAAACCCCAGATCTAAACGCTTAAAACCGCGCGAGGCTCGAGAGGAAATGGCGACGGGCGGAAACCCAGAAGCGGACCTCACATATCTTCCCGATTCCGATTAGATCTGAACGCAGGAAAGACTCAGAGAGAACCCACCAAACCACCCTAAAACAAATCTCTTCCGAGAAAGAACGAGAGCTTCCCGGGTAAAAGAGAGTGGGAAGCTCGGAAAAGAAAGGGCAAAGACAGAGAAAACCTCCCCCTCCCTCCCTCCTTCAGCTATCATCAGCCTACAACAAATCAAGAAGTCATGATTGTAGCAGGCAGCAGCTGAAGAGCCAACAAAAAACAGAGGAAAGGAAAGGAAAGGAAGGAAGGCAGGAAGGAAGAAAAAACAAAGGAAAAGCTCCCGAATTTATCAGATCGCAGAATCTACGACCTCCATGAGTAGACACGAGATCTCCTCAATGACCCTGAATATACAGAGCCCCCCCCCCCCCCCCTCTCTCTCTCTCTCTCTCTCCTCTCTCTCTTCTGTGCGTACCACGATGCTCTGCTTGAGTTTGAGCTTCAACTCAGAGAGACAGAGACAGAGACAGAGACAGAGAGAGAGAGAAGGGGCAAAGGCGTGGGGGCTGACCACACACCATCCCCCACCCCTTCCCCCCCCTCCTCCTCCAAATCATGGTTACGCGCCCCGGGGGCTGACAGGGCTTAACCATGGTTAGATCGGACGGCGGCGGTCGCGTGGCGGGGGGGGGAGGCGGTGTGGGATCTGGGCCGTCCGTGGGTGGACCAGTGATGTAACATGCATGTGTCCTTATCTCTCCGGTAGATAGAGAGAGAGAGAGAGAGAGACCAAGAAAGTCGTCAGTCGCGTTGCTCTTTGCGGAAATGACCCTCGGTCTCGCCCTAAATTACGGCCCCGTGCCACTCCTGCAGATAAGACCCGAGGCCGAGGGGGGGGGGGGGGGGCCACCCCCACGCGCGCGAGTGCGGGAGTCGCTCGCGGGCTCGGGCGCGTGGTCCCCCCCCCCGCCCCGGGCTAGTCGACCGCTGGGCGGGCGAGTAGCGGGATCGTTGCGTACTCGCGCGGAGGGGATTTGCGGGGTTGCTTGTGGGGCTCGGCATTGCTGTGTCAGAAAACAAATTATTGCTCCTTTTTTTTATTTTTTTTTTCCGTTTTGTCCTTGTTTTTTTGGCCCTTTCTTTTTTGAGGATAAGTGAATCATAACCATTTTAATGATTGGGTGACTCGTAAAAGGAAAAAAACAGAGGAAATTTTATTTTATTTTATTTTTGACAAAATCTAAGACTGCAATAAATGCGCCACGGTTAATAGTGAAAAAAGCGAATTCTTTATATATATATTTGTTATTTTTTTTTCTCTCATGTAATAAACGTTGCAGCGTCAGAATTACCTAACGATAATAATAAAAATAATAATAAATAATAACAATAACTATAATGACAATAATAATAATAGCGATAAGCGTGCGGATCTTCTAAGTTCTCTGATTAGTGATTACTTTTGCTTGTGCAATCGCATGCTCCTTGCTTATCCTTGTTATTTACCATGTTGTACATTTTCAACATCTTTACACCTAGCTCGTAACAAAAATTTGACGGAAAATTGTCGTGATGTCCCGAAATGCGATACGCGCGATTTTCCGTCTGGGTAAATTTAGTATTTAGCTTCTTGAGTGTGATCCAACATTGTGCGGCTCTTTAGCTCAATTAGATATGGCTAACAAACAATCAAGAGACAGTGAATTAGTTGCTTTTAAGAAAGTTATGACATTGTTGTTAATGACTCGTGAATATGCTTTTGCAAAAGGAAAACTGTATTGTGCGGATGTAACGGCTTCTATCGAATTAATAAAAAAATGAGCCAAAGAGATAGAAGACATTACAAAACATATATGTATTAGTGGTTCGGTCTTTCACTTGGCCGACGTCCATTCTTTCATACTGATAGAAATGAGAAAAAAGAAAACCCACCACCAATTTTAGAGACACTATTATCTGTAGACGGTGCAAATTTTACACGAGATACAAATAGAAGCGCCTCTAACGATACTATACTTAACTCTCTTCAAGGATTACAGACTTCTACACACAAGAACAGCAAGAAGGCGAACGCTCGGAGTTAGTTGTCTATTTCCCTTGGATTGAATATATAGCCATTAGACCTCAAATGACCGTTTAAAATTCAGATCTATTTGATGTCATTTTGTACCTCAAAATTCATCGTTTAAGGTTGTTCTAGTGGAGCGATTCTCTATTATTTTGGTCTTCTCGACATTGTTACTTCCTTATTATTATTTTTTATGCCGTTTCATTTGCATTTGATTTTCGAATCATTTAAGACTTTCGACCAGTAAGGGTGTGGCAATATTTACTTACCAATATTATTCAACAAAGACACTCTCGCCACTCTCGCCTCTTGTCGAAATATAGAAAAAAAAATCGAGAGTCTCTCTTTGCAAGCTAACATGCAGCGTATCACAACCCGAGATTATCATTTCAACAGCCACGTCCGTAGTTTCGATAAGAATGATTTATTTCTCTTCGGGCTCGAGAAAAGAAATAATCGCGTCGCCGGAACAACCTGATAGATCTATCAAGAAAAAGGAAGGAAGGAAGGAAGGCTCACCACTCTACACCCAATTTGCCAAAACTTTCTCCTTAGAAGTTGACATTAACACTCCATTCCAATGCTATTTTGATTGCCTGATTTTCTCTTTGAAAATTGCAATTTGCTTATCCACATCAAGATTTCATCCCCCAGGTCTTTGTCAAGCCACTGTATTATTGGATCCAAGGTCGTCTTCAAGTTAATTTTCCTTTGAAATAGCGACTTGAAGCTCACATCAACACATGATAAAAGTCGTCGTGGAATTTTGTGTATTTCGGATGAAAAGTCATGCTTAAATCTTTCAGGATCGCGAAGAGATCCCCGATATGTTGACCTTCCTTTCGACCTCGGCACAGATCCCGTTAACGTCGGCGAGCGAAGGCGTTTTCGAGTGTTATTTTTATCCGACGGCTAACTAGTGTTTGGACCGATCTTAACTTGTTATGATTTCCATCTATTAATTTATTCTCCACCGTTCACGCCATCTATAGATCGTGTACCTTCATTCGAATTTCGATTTACGTCTTACGTGGTTCGTCGAGGTGGAGTAGTAGTTTCCACGTTTTAGCAGCCATGGCAACCCACACTTTTTAGACAAGGAATAAAATTATATATGTTACCCGAAAAATCCTTAAATTTAGGGACCGCATGTTACATATCTCTAAATAATAATTTCAAAGTATGCAGATTTCGCATTCGAATGAACAAATTCAAAAAAAAAATCGAACATATCATGAAAGTTCGCATTACATTATACGAAAAGACAAATAGTAATTGCATACGATATGCAAAAATCAGGGTTGTCTTGTTCTTTTCTTGCTACCATGCCAAATCGTAAGTATTCAAGACAAATTATGGGTTTATTCAAAGCCTAAATCTCAAATTTCTTGACATAGCCACCAAATTAAGATCACTCCCATCCAAAACCTAATTAAAAGGGATAATAATACAAATTGTCCCTGAACTTCGGCCCAATGTACAATGCGGTCTCTGAATTTTAAATTTGTTCAATGCGGTCCCTAGACTTTAGCCCAACGTCTAATATCGTCCCTAAACTTTTAATTTGTTCAATATGATTCTTGAACTTTTGATACATGTTCAATTAAGTCCCTAAATTGTATGAAAATGTACAATATTCTATTTTGATTAATTCAAGTTCAAGGACAATATTAAATATTTTTATGCGATTCATGGACTAAATTGAACAGGCACCGAAAGTTCAAGGACTATATTGAATGAATTAAAATTCATGGACTCATCGAATAAAATTTATAGATCATATTTTACATCGGATTAAAGTTCAAGGATTATTTGCGTCATTTATTTTAATCATATCGATCCGAGCACGAGAGAATTAAGAAATTTCGAATCTTGAGTAAATTATTGAATCTCCTATGCCGTCCACGCATTTTCATGCGCACCTCAGACATTTCTTTATTTATTGGGAATTTGAATGGATGGAGATAACCGAGGTGGGAAAATCAAATCAAAATAAAACAAAAGGCCAAAAAAGAAAATTTCGGATGGAGAGAAGCCCAAGACGAGGGAAGAAGATGATGATGATGAGGGAGAGTACTCGAGATTCCGCAAAGCACTAACGCAGCACAACCACATGATTGTTATCCTCCTCGCCCCTCGCCCTCGCCCTCGCCCTCGCCCTTCGTCTTCTCGTCTGGTTCGCTAGCAAGATGCGCGCGAGTCAACTTCCTCCTCCTCCTCCTCCTCCTCTCATGTCCATGGATGGATGGCCGCGAAACAATCGCTGCATTTCTCTCTCTCTCTTCTCTCTGTAAGGATGAATGAAGACGATGATGTCTTGGTGATGCTGATGCATCGAGCCGAGGTTGATAGCCCATCACATCACCCGACCCAGAATCAGGAGAGGGGAAGCTTCGTTTGAATTGAGATGGAGAAAGACTCTCCTCCAGTCGAGGCCACGGTCTAGAACTTTTAGGGTTTGAGTAGGGGAGTCACAAGTCCGTCTAGAACTTAGGGTTTGAGTAGGGATTCACAAAGTTTCGCCTTCATGAGGAAGTTAGTCTGCTCTTTCTATATTCGCGCAATAACGCTTATTCGGGGCACAAAATGATGGTATCGCATCTCCTATCTAATAGCTCAATCGTGTTTGCTCATACTAGTCCGACACGGTTACTGAGTAATGCGCGTTTGGGTTTGCTCTCTAGTTTGAGGGAGTGTTCGACTTTGACGGCATGTGAACGCCGATTGCCATCCGTCCCTACTAAGTTTCCGGTTTAGATTAGTGAAAGAACAATATCGAATTAAACATGTACATATGCCCTCATCGGGAAAAGAGATCGACAACCGGAGAAAAATCCGATCCCGCGAGTATATAAGTTGAATAGAATTCTGTGCACATTTGCATTATGAAATATCTAAAAAGTAGAATGTTACAACACGTTATTTGCGTGGGTCAAGTCCAAAAAAATAAGTACTTTGAATAATCATACAAGGGGATAACCATTTAGAGGTTAATCCTTTTTATGAATGATGTGACAAGATCTCACCTATTTGAAGTGAGACATGATTGAGGAGAATTATTATTGATTAATTCCTCCATTTTATTTCCTTCCTCCATATAGAAAGGACACAAAGAATCAAGAATAATGGAAGCCGAGAGTATTTCTATGTTTTGATTACCCCTTTAGTTTTACGTCCCCCGAACTAGAGTGCAATGATCACATGGGTCAAGTCCTAAAAATGAGTACTTTGAATAATTGACTATATAAGGCGATACCCATTTAGGGGTGTATCCTTTTTATGAATGATATGACAAGATCTTACTTATAACGTAACAACCACATGGGTCAAGTCCCAAAAATGAGCACTTTAAATGCCTGACTATACAAGGCGATGTCCATTTAGGAATGAATCCTTTTTATGAATGATATGACAAGATCTCACTTATTTATGGCGGGATATGATTGAGGAGAATTATTATTGATTTTTTGCTCCATTTTATTTCCTTCCTCAATATAAAAGGACAAGAAGAATTAAGACGATTGCACCTTTAGTTTTACATCGCTGAACTTGCGTTTTGTTACACTTAGTAACACTATTAAGTAGGGTTGTGGGATTGGGAAGGGTTTGAGCTAAATCTCTCCATCACCCCTCTCCCTTTATCTTTTTTTTTTTTTGGCCGATTTGGTTTTTTGTTTTCCGTTTATTGCTTTCCTCTTATTTTGATGAGCTCTTCTCTTTTAATCTAGCTTAGATTTGGAAGCTTTTCTCTCCCGTTTCGGAGAAATTTCTATCACGATCTAGTCTAAATTTGGGGATTTTTGTGTGTATGATTTCAAGGTTTTGCTTCCCTTGGACTTTGTTGGTATATAAGTCTAGTTTCAAAGGAAATTGGAGGAGTTTCGTGAAAGTTTCGCTCTCACAGGTGTCAGATCTGTGCACGTTCAATCTTGTTACACTGAAACGGCTATGATGTTGGAGATGCCGAACCTAGGCGCGCATCGCCGAAAGTCAAAGCCGTAGCAATAGTTAGAGATCTCGGCATGTGCTTATCTCCGGTGATCAGCCGCTGATTTTGATTTGGAGAAGTCATTCATAGATCTGCTCTTTAAGCGTGTGACCCTAATATTGTTCTAATGATTTATCTTGTTATCCGGAGCTTGTTCTATTTTGAAGTTGTCTGAGATTTCTCTTGTTTCTCTCTCGTAATTCTGTGAAAATGAATGAAATGTTATTTTGACAAAAAGAAAGAAAGAATAGGGTTGCGGTGTAACTATTTCTTCAAATTCATATCGAATGCGATTTTTGCCCTCAATTCAAGCAAATAATACTATAATACATAAAAAGGAAAAATTGACATCACTAACCCTTAAAATTACCAGCTTAGTATATTTAATGTGGACAACTTATGAATTATTTAAAACGGTTGCTAGAAAAAATAAATAGATATAAAAAAGTAAATAGAAAAACCTACAAAATTTCTCAAATATTTGAAATGGTCATTAATTGTCGAATTTAGCTCATCATCATTGCTAAACCATATATTCTGCTAATTTAATGTGTAGAATTTAAGAAGAACTTTTACCATTAGGAAATTTTCGAAAAAAGAAGATGATAAATTATAGTCATAATCTTAACTCATGTATCAATTTCGAGCCTCTTAAATTTTTCGTTTTTCTTAATTTCATTTAAATTAGTTCCTTTTCTAAATTTTAACATTAAACGGAGCCTTAATATATGCCAAAAACAAAAACCAAGTTCATCGGGGTACGATGCAACTTTTTAAAGTTCGAGGTTCAACACGCATAAACCCCAAAATTTGGAGGCGTAAAATGAAATTTTTCCCAAAAAATATTAATGTTTCGTTAAGATTGCAAAAACATAGACAAGATAAACTATCTCTCAGGTTAAACTATGTCTCGTGAGCTCACAAGTTCGAATCTTTAATGCCCGGAGTAGGTAGCCGCACCGATCGGGACCCCTCCCGCCTGTCTCGCTTGTATTAAAAAAAAGCACCAAAGAAAAAAACCAATGTTGGATTAAGCTTAAGCTGAGAGAAGAGAAGAGGGTTTGCATGACCAAAACGTGTTCGACTGAATGGGATTCTTGTCTTCTTCTGCTCGAAATTACCAATTATGCAACAATTATTTGGCTTTTGATTTGAAGTTGCTTTCTCCATAGTCTTTCTCTCTCCCTTCGCCTTCCTGGAAACAGCTTTTGGACCGACCCCCACCACACACCGCCAACGCTCCTCTTCGCAAGTCAAAAAATACACAGTTTCCATCACAAGCCAAAGCCTCCCTTCCCCCCCAAGCAATTTTGTCACATGATGCATTTGCTTTTCAAAGCCTCTTGTCTAACTTTCTCATCTCTCTTTTCCCCAAAAGAGAGTTTATCTTAATTGACTAAAATCCCGAGTCCAAGGGCACTCGCGCTTTGGATTATCTGCCCAATTTTCCACACTTTCGAGCAATTCACGTCTCTTCCATCCAATCCCATTCGATAGTGATTAGTATTACAACATGATAAAGATGCACATCAAAGTCCAAATCCCAAATTAAGATAATCTCTCCCTTTTTTTTTATTCTTGATTTTTGCTTTTGTGGCGAATGCTAACGAAGCTGTGTGTCTATGCTCTTAACTATTGTTTTCATGCCAGAGAATGGCGGCAAGTTCATTTCGTGGGAGATTCACTCTTTTAACAGAGGATTTTCGGCTTTTTTGAGTGGGTTGGGGTGGTTTTATCGTCCATGTGATTGACAAGATGTGCCGATTGATTACGAGAGCTTTGGAAGATAATCTTCTCATCCTAGTAAAAGTTTGACACGACGGTAGACATGAAAATTCGGACTCTGTCCATGCGCGGCAGGCAAAGAGCAACCCTTGATTTGAAGTATCGGAGCGTGATCTTCAGGATCAACCCTTTCGTGACTATGAATAGTCCGACATGAAATTAATACAAAATATAACCGGCGACTGACTTTTAGAACAGATGGGTATTCGCCCTACTTTCTCTTTTGCCAATTTGTGCTTTCTCCTTTGAAGTATGAAGGTTCCAACCATACTTTTCATTCATGTGCATTGAGCTCTCATGACTTTGGCTTTCTTCATTCTATAAGCATTTGAATGAGGATGGGTGTTAAGAATGTAAAGATATACGCCGGTCCTTTTTTAGCAACTCAATCTTTTGGAACAAATAATCATACAATTAATATTCACCAAGTTATGAATTTCTCGTCTTTTCCTCGATCAGTCCTAATAAATCCCCGAAATTCCCCGTTCCACACCAATGTCCAATTAACATCGTTCGCGAAAAATACCTGGATGTATCTTTTGTCTTTACATAGCCAATGAGTGTCAATAATGATAATCTCTTTCTAAAGTGTTACATTTCAGTACTTGTACAAGCCAACTGGACGACCCTTTGGAAGCTGCTGATAAGCCTTTACATTACTTGTCCTAGAGGCCCAAGTTAATCGGAAAGCACGTGGAAAAGTCTATCTTCTCCTTTGATTAAGATCCAAGGTCCATGTGCGCCGAGAATAATGCCCTCTTGATTAAGGATTAGATTAAAGATTAGTGTATTGCGGAGGGGTTTCTAGCCTGGCAAATTTTGTCTGACATGAGGCCTAATCACACAAAGAGAAATGAATAATAAAAAAAATTGAATTAAACAAAATGAAATCAAAAATGAAATACGTGGTAAGGGATGACGTGAGTCGAAGCAATGCGTACAAGCGTTTTAGCCAATGGAGAGAGGGGAAGATGCATTCGAAAGGACAGTGGTTAAGCCAAAAGGGGGATTAATCAAATCCAATTATAGCCCCACTTGCCTATAATTACAAGCAGAAGAGAGGAAAAGGGATGATGGAAAGTGATGGAGAGGCAAAAGGTTAGAAAAAAGATAGGAATGGGTTCATGATCATTTCCAACTTGAGAATGCAATCTCCCATCATTTGCAGTCATGTGATTAGCATAGTGCAAGAGTTTTTTCACAAGCATCTCCCGAAAGCGCAACCGCATTCCGGCTCCGAATCATAGTACCGGCTCGCGTGACGGGGCGACGCACAAGCCGAAATCTAGGGCTCACACATTGAACCCGGGGATTCCCAAGCCCGACAACGATATCTCATTTGCCGGGCGCCCCCGAACACCCTTTTCCGACATCTTTAAAGCCGGTGGACCTCGAGGGAAAGCTGCGCAATGAATTCATAACCTAATGTAAAACGAGAGCCATGCGAAATCATAACGCATGGCGCCGTGCTGCGGTCCATCCGCCCTCCGCCTTCGACACATAAATTGGGACTTGGGAACATCGATGAGGTGAAACCTCGAATGTCCTTATTGATGACACACTCTTCAGAGTGGTCCTCGTAGCGTCCAAAAGAAGAACACGAAAGGGACTCGTTCTAACGTGGGGGCAAAACAAAGCAAAAGAGGGAGGGCGAGCAGAGCAGAGGAAGGAAGGTACGACAGCGGCAGCAGAGGTTGGCGCCTTGTTGCTGGTGGTAAATGGTGGTGGTGGTGGTGGTGGCGTTTGGTGGAGGTGGTCTCCAATCACGCACAGAGGACTCCGAAAATAAAACGACGAAAAAGCGAAAGGAAGAGATAGAGATAGAGATAGAGAGAGAGAGAAAGAGAGAGAGAGAGAGGACCACATGATTGGGCTCGTTGATGTCAGCCTCCTCTCCTCTCCTCTCCTCTCCTCTCCTTTGCTTTATTAAAGGAGGGGGAATAAATGTTGCAGGCCCACCATGTTAGTGTTCACCTTACGGGTTTTGTCAGAATGAATCCATGTTTCGACAACTTGTGGTTGTTCACTGTCGTTGTTCACTGTTCCGTGATGATCTATCTGCATCCTCTTACGTATACGACCTCTTCGAATATGATACAGACCAAGCAAATCTTCGAGCCCAGACATGAAAAGGGTCGAGGCCTTCCTCAAGTCCAAGGTTCTGGTCTACAGTGAGCCCAGGCTCCCAGAAGGAGCACCATATCGACTTGTCTGTGTTCTTACATTACCTTCTGTAGCAAGTCAGAGCAAGCTCCTCGCCTCAGGCCATCAAGCCGCCTAGTAAGAAGAACGAATATTGGGATGACGGAGATATGTAAATGTTTGAGATCGATCGGAGATTCCAGGCTAAGACATGACAAGGGTTGTCTTAAATCATATACCATATGAGCGCCGTTTTTTCCTTTCCCAAGAGAATGGATGTTCGCACCATGTGTACCGGAGCCGGAAAACACCATTTATGTCAGACGATAGATAGGAATACCTGTTTGAAGAGCCAGGTGTTTACCCACAAATGACAAACAAAAAAATACAATCCCCAAAGTCGGAAGGTTGTTTTTCGCTACGACGCAATATAGCAGAACTCTAGGGAAATCACTAAATGTGGCAAGCGGACTGAAACAGTGTCCAAGGAAGAAAGGTTATGGTGACACAGGCATATTTCAAAAACTTTGTGACACAGAATGATGCAGAGGATCTCAATGTCCAGGCTGTTTACCTCTGCAAACTTTTCCTCACAGTCGATTTCGTCTTGTGCATGAACAGTCCACGAAATGATCAAGGATTCGACTGGAATCCGTATTCTCAGCCATTAATGGCTTTGACCATCAGCCGCACTGGAGATACGATAGGACTATCAGGGTGCTAAATTTGAAGCTAGTAGTTCAAAAAACAGCAGAGTGCAGAAAACAGAGGCATGAAGGACATATTCTTCCAGATATAACAATAGGAAAAGCTACTTTTACCATATCTGCCTTTTCTAAAAAAAACTCTTCCCATTGGAAACGATAATAACAAAAACCATAGAGGATCCAATCCAGCATAATTTATGTGCTCTATCCCTCTCCGACTGCCAGAAGGGCTAACCACTTGACCTAATAAAAAATCTCGAGGAGACTATGAGGTTAAAAGTTGAAGCTTCAACAGAAATTACATCACGAGCTTAAGCTTCCAATAACTAGTCTGATGCCTACGCAACCAACATTTGCATGCAATGGCACTGGGCACATATCATCAAATCCATTCCGGTGAAGAAACTCAAGTAAGGAGCTTCAATGCAATGGTAGTTAGGAAACTTTGCTATATAACTAAGGTCAGCAGAAGCACTTGCTTAAGTTTTACCGACTACAGATGATTAAACATTAGAGAAAGGGCTAACTACCAAGCTGGCCTAAATATACTTCCTCACACATAATACCAGTTACAAACTAGTGGATAAGCACACACGCTTGCAAGGGTGATTGACTGCTCTTAATGTTTAAGTCGTAACTGCATGCGTCCGCGCTGTTTTCAAGTTCCAGACACAATCCGACAAATGGTAATCATTCTCAAGCTTTAAGTTAATGACAATGCAAATCACGTTGCCATGAATGTATAGTATTGTCTTTTGATCTCAAATAATTCGAAGAAGCACAAAATTTTACTTTGTCAAAGCAACTGCATACTCCCCAACCACTATAGCACCGAAATTCATCAAAAAGGAAATGAAGAAAATTGGATCTTCTAAGGTTAAAATCGTCTCATCCCACTAGCAACCAAGGTTCATGATACTAGAGTGCCACTAATGGCATCTTGTATTACAGGCTCTATTATCACAAAGAACCCCCAGCTTCAAGCATCGAGGAATTTCAGTGCGAAAGTAACTTCCTCCCACAGTCTGGGCAACATCAAAGCGTATGCTCGTAATTTGCGCAATCCTGTAGAGATCTAATTCAGACAATTCAACCAAACGACCAATATCTTACTCCAAGTAACTGGAACTGAATTGAAGGTCGGACACTGCAATAAGTTTCACGAGCATAGCCTAAACGTAGGTACAATGCTATCATGAAATGTAAGCTTTTCGAGATTTCAACTCAAAGCATAAACTCATTTGAGCATAACTCCAACTTTTTTCGCTAGTTAACTCCAAGCGCATTGCAATCATTGACCATATTTAATTCTACAGCCAGATTTGGTATTTTCCCCTCATTTCGACTTCCCAAAATGATAGCAACCACCAAATATCCGGAAAAGATCAACTAGCGAAATTTTCGGGTACCTAGATAAGCAAGTAGTTGCCCACTCTGTACCGGCGCCTCACCACTACTTAATTGATTCAATTGATTACCGGCCAGGCGATTTCATAAACCGAGCTTTCCTTAACCAGCTGACCTTACTTCATAACCTTAACATACTCATCAGATGATCAGATACTAGAAAAAGCCAAGTAATTTCCAACGATTGGCATGTGACAGACAAAATTTGGCCTGAGGAAAAGACCATGTCACAATGCAAAATGTATCACCAGCACTGCCAAATTCCGGTTCCCCGACATCACATTTGCCCATCAACTACAACTATCAGATATAACTCCTAACCTCGAAGCTCGGTCGCATTAACAACAATTTCAATAGAAGTTGCTACTTCCAAAATCAGCAATTAAACGAACCTTCGAACCTCTACGATCGATCGTCTCCTCCGTCCTTACGATCCCCGGCGATAAAAACCCCGGGCCGAGCCGTCCGCCGCCGAGTCCTGGACGGGAGGATGTTGTCCAAGTCGACCTCCGCGAGCGGATCGTCGGACAGATCGCTGTCGCTCTCCGAAGGGACGCCGGCATTGCCGTAATCATCGCTGCTGCTATCGCCACTATCCTCCTCTTCTTCTTCGACGATCAATTTGCCCTTCCCCTTATCGTCCTTCACAATCCCCTTACCCTTCACATCCACCGCGTCGCCTTCATCGTCTCCACCCTCTTCCTCTTCCTCTTCATCATCATCATCCTCGTCGTCGTCGTTGTCCTCGTAATCGTCGTCCTCTTCTTCCTCCTCCTCCTCAACCTCCACATCCGCATCCGCATCCGCTTCCGCTTCCGCTCGCTTTTCCTCCAGAACCGGGGCCTTCTCCGAGTGATTCCCCTCCCCGCGCGCGTTCCCGTCGCCGGACTCCGAGCGATCGTCGCCGCCGCCGCAGCCGCCGCAGCCGCCGTGGTTGAGGTTCTCCGGAGGTTCGAGCTTGAGGCTTTTCCCGGAGCGATCTCCTTCTCCTACTCCTCCACCTCCTTCTCCTCCTTCGGGTTCGCGGCGGGCGAGATCGGGCTTGCGCTTCGCGGGGAATGCGAATTCCTCGCGGTTCTCGGTGTTCGCCATGGAACTGGGGCGGCGTCGAAGGTCCCGGGGGTGGTTTCGCGAGGCGGAGAGGAGAGAGACTTCGGGGCGGTTTTTGGCCGATCGAAGGGAGGCGGATGCGGCGGAGAATGGTGGTGGGTGTTGGTTTTGTGTTATGGAGACACCGGCCAGCCACCGCTCGACGCAACGTTTTTTTTTTGTTGTGTTTTTTTTAGGGCTAAAGTAGAGGGGGTCGAGAAACGACGCCGCGGCGATCAAATAGAACACGCTCTATGGCTTTTATTTTTTTATTTTTTATTTAGAGAGAATCTCAAAAAAGATTCTGAACTTTTTCCGTAAATTAACACCCGTACATTTTGTCTCACGAGTGCCCTAACATGCTCGGACATCATCAGGCAAGCGAATTTAACGTGACTATACCGGGTCTTTTGAATACGCTCAAAGACGGTATTGCAAAGCACTGTCTCTTTAAAGATTGAGATTCGCGCAGAATTGAAACAAAGGGTTAGTTCTTTTTTTTTTTTTTTTTTTTTAAAGGCGTTTGCTCCGGTGAGAGGAGAAATCTTTCTCCTTGCTACCGAGGGAACAAAATTTATGGATGTAGAGGCTTTCATTTAACTGATTTCTTGATTGCTAGGTTCACAGTGTTCGATTCATTGATTCGACATTTTGGGGGTTTTTGCTGGCACTAGCAAAGTGTTGCGGTTTTTGTCGTGAGAAGCCACGGCATCGACAACCTACTCAGTATCTAATTTCCTGGTAAGCCTACTTGCATCTTCTTTTGGTGCATGCAGTAGGGTTTTGCGATTCAAATTGATTTGGTTGATGATCCCGTATCGATATGAATAAAGGGCAAAATCTAGGCAGATGTTTTGCTATTTTGTTATAGATGGAATACCATTTCTCAATTACGCACCACGTGGGTGGCTTTATGGAGTTTGGAGAAAATGTGATATATTTGGGTCTTGTCGAATACTACCTTGGGGGTTGAAGCATGAGTTTGTAAATTATGCTACACTTTGTGACCTATATGTTAAAATTAGGTTATAAAGTTCAAAAGTCAGGGTTATAGAATTCCTAATTATACTTTGAAGAATGAGACTATGCACAATTACAATAAGGATCAAGTGTTTCAATTGGTGGGTCTAGCATTAGGATTGGGTACAATTTGATGCTTGTGTTGAGGGAGAATTGATAGATACTGCTGATGTTGAATTGGTAGATGAAGTTAGGGTTAAAATTGAAAATAAGGTTGAAATAGGACATGGATATTCACTTGGGATTGAGGTAGGAGGAAATGAGGGCTCAAGTCAGGGCTGGGATTGGGGTTGGGCTTGAACATATGGGCTCTATCTAGGGTGAAGTTGAAGTTGAGGCTAGGGGTGAAGTAGAAAATAAATTTGAGTTTAAGGTTGAATTGTGAGATGAAGTTAGGGTTGAAGTTGGCTGGGGCTGGGGTTGGGCTTGAATGTGGGCTAGGCACGTAAGATATTGATACTGACATTGGCAATAAGAGTGATGACGACACTCTTTATTTTAGACATGGTATATCTCTTTTCAAAATGATGATGCAACTTGTGATGGTTATAAATGTGTTATAATGGATTTTTATTTCAATGTGATGGAATAAGATGTGAACTTGGGATGATTAATGGCTGGAGATTCAATGAATGAGTGTTGCGGGACTGCAAATTCTACTGCTATTAATGGTGTAAAATAGGTTTTACGAGATTAAAATTCAAGCAAGACTAGAGTATGATAAAACTCCGCGGCAATCAAATTTCTACATTTAATCGCTATAAAAAGTTATGTCGTGGCCAAGGCCATCAACTTGAATGTATCTCTAGTGACCCAAAATTTGGTTGCCAAAAGCCACCGGGACAAGAGAAGTGGCAACTTCTAGACATCAATTGGTGGCCAAATGTCGATTTTTGGCTAATAAGGGTGCGCATGACAATGTTTCTATGCCGGGGAACTATTTCTACTTAGAAAAGGTTCTTTTTTATTCTGTGCCCGGAAACAATTTCTAAGCATTTGAAGGCGTTTGGTAACTGTCCAAAATTTCTATGCCCGGGATAGAAAAGAACAGAAATGCGTTTGGTAACTACACAAAATTTCTTTTTATTAATAATATTTTAATAATATTTTGAATTATTTAATTTTTTTTTTCTTTCTACCCATTCTCTTCCTTGGCCATGGCCGGTCGCCGGCGGCCGGCGGAGGCGAGGGTCCCCCTTGCCGGCGAGGGCGAGGGCTGGACCCTTGCCGCCTGGGCGAGGCGGCTCGCCGTCAGTCATGGCGAGGTCGGCCTCGCCCAGATCGGGCGAGGCCGAGCATCGCCGTTGGTCGCGACGGCGAGCCGCCTCGCCCGGGCGGCGAGGGTCCGCCCTCGCCCTCGCCGGCAAGGGGGACCCTCGCCTCCGCCGGCCGCCGGCGAGGGCCGTGTCGCCCTCGCCGGCCCGGCGACCGGCCACAACCCAAGAACAGCAACACAAAAAGAAGAAAACAAAAAAAAGAAAAAGAAGAAAAAAAACTGATTCTCAAAATTGTCAGAAACAAGAAGCAACTTTTTTTACTTCTTGTTTCTCTTCCAAAACTCGTTTCGGGCACAAATTTTTGCAAAAATGTGCCCGGGAACAAAAAGTTTACTAAACGCATTTCTGTTCCCAAACTATTTCTGGGAACAAAAGAACAGAAATTTTTACTGTTTGGCACGTTACCAAACGGGCCCTAATTGGTTGCCAAAGAGTACTTCTAGTTCTAGCCATGATCCATTGATAAATCCTAGCGACCAAACATTTCGATCGCCATGAAACCTCCGTCGAGCAATTTTTGGTTGCTAACTTCTTACAACCAAATATCTGGTTGGAAAAATTTATGACAACCATATTTAAGCTTTTCGTGACCAAATTTTTTTGTCAAGAAGGACTGTTTTTCTTTTTGTAGTGGCTGCATGATCGCATGAGGCTTTTCATTATATCTAACTAATTAATGTGCAACATGTATGAAAAAAAAAAACATTAAAACTACTTTATTACGAAATGTTTGAATCATCGAAATAGTGGGAGCAATTATAGATAAAAATTCACAATATAAATAATCGTATATCATCGAGCTACCGCTCTCCTTTCTATTCCCTAGGTTAGGGTTTTCTCTCTTTTCCCTTGAAGCCTCCGCCTCTCTGCAGTGCCATCCCTGAGGGAGCTCTCTCCCTCTCTCCCTCCCTCCCTCTTCCCTCTTTTGAAGCTCTCTGTTTTTCTTTTCTCTCTTGATCTGGTTTGGGAGTTTGTGTGTGAGAATAAAGTTCTACAAATGATATTGAGTGAACGTGGAAACCGGTTCGGCCATTTGTCTAGTCGATAGCTACCGAGAAGGATGTTCGCAATGTGGCTCCACAACCTCTCTGAGATTAAGCCGCTCTCACTTCCTGATTTAGATTTATGTCAAGTTTTGAGGGTTTTACTCTCTCAAACTAGATTTAGATATAGATCTGGGAGCTCTTTATCGGTATTTAATCTGTGTTCCTTCAATATTTTGACGTTGGTATTTCAGCACGGCGAAGGTGATGAGGAGATGAACCTAGACATGCATTGCAAGTTGTTGCAAATGGAGTAGGAAATCTTGGCGTGTCTACAATACCGAATCTAGTAATCGGCCGGCAATCGTTTACGGTGATAGATTTGTTCTCGAGAAATGAGAATGTGCTTTCAGCTGCAGACTGTGCTTTATGACTTTTCCTTTATTTTGCGGTTATTTGTGATTTACTGGGAAAAGTGTCAAAAAAGTCATAAACCTTTGGAATTGATACCAATTTAGTCTTAAACCTTTTTTTTGTGCCAATTCAGTCATAAACCTTTTGCATTTGTGCTAATTTAGTCCTAAACCTTTTTTTGGTGCCAATTCAGTCCTAAACCTTTTTTTTGGTACCAATTCAGTCATAAACCTTTTTTTGTGCCAATTTAGTCCTAAACCTTTTGCATTGGTGCCAATTCAGTCATAAACCTTTTGTTTTTGTGCCAATTTAGTTATTCAAGCCAATTTTAGCAGGATTTTGCTGACATGGACGCCGGCCGGGCGTTAATGTGAACAACTTTTAATAATTTTTAATATTTATTATTATTTTTTCTTTTTTTGTTTTTTTTTCCTTCCCTCCCTCCTTCCTCTAGCCAGTCACCGGACTAGCGACCGGCCACTGGCGAGGCTAGCCCGCCAGTGACGACGAACGCGAGCCTCACCATGGCTGAGCGAGGCTAGACCTCGCCAGATCTGGCGAGGTCGTGCCTTGCCTAGCCGCCGGCGAGGTCGGGCCTCGCCCACCCAACATGAGGTTGCCCTCGCGGCCATTCGGTGAGGGCGAGCCTCGCTAGCCACTGGCGAGGCGACCTCGCCGGCGTTTGGCCTCTGGTTAGTCGCCGGTCTGGTGACCGATTGGAGGAAGGAGGGAGGTGAGGAAAAATAAAAGAAATAAAGGAAAAAAATAAATACAAATTAAAAAAATATTAAAAATTTATTTAAAGTTGTCCACGTCAGCGCCGGTGGCCGATCGACGTCCACGTCAGCAAAATCCGGCCAATTTTGGTTGGAAGGACTGAATTGGCACAAAAACAAAAGGTTTAAGATTGAATTGATACCAATGCAAAATGTTTAGGACTGAATTGGCACATATGCAAAAGGTTTATGACTTTTTTGACACTTTTCCTGTGATTTTTTTAATATTTCTTTCTTTTTTTTCCTTGGCCATGGTCGGTCGCCAGCGACCGGCAACAGGCCAGGGCGTCGTGGCCCTCGTCGTCGTTAGGGGCGGTGAGGGCTACCCACGCCGGCCCTAGCCAATCGCCGGTGGATGGTCGCCGGTGGCTGATCGCCGGCGGCGGGCCGAGAAAAAGATGAAGAACAAATAAAAAAGAAAGAAGAAAACCAAGAAAAATCAGAAATGAAAAAATTGTTCCAGAATTAAGAAGCTACTTTTTTTTTGCTTCTTGATTCTGTTCCAAAACCGATTTTGGGAACAATTTTTTGCAAATTTGTGCCCGGGAACAAAAATTTTAACAAATGGATTTCTTCTCCCAAACTGATTCTGGGAACAAAAGAACATAAATTTTTACTATTTGGCAAGTTGCCAAACGCTCCCTTAGAGAACTCAACTGCATAAAAAAAAGTTCAGTGACTTTATTGCATATTTTGCAAAAATTTAAGGATTATTGGCGCCTTTTATCCCTATATTTTTTTGGACTGACCTTCTATCCCTATATGAAAAACATTTGAGTGATTAAATAGAATTATTGTCTCGTGCATTTTCTCATGGATTTAAAATTTTTTAAATCAGTAAATTTGGGCAAGAAAAAAAGATCGAGATTCCTTAAAATAGCAGGTTTTATTTGCTTTTCTTTGCTCAATATATTAGTACAGATAACAAGCAATGAAATGATATTAAAGTTCACAGAAGTAAAACTAAACTAGCGAAGTAGATGACTGCATGCTTAAAGATACAACTACAAACAAATTAAAGTAATCGTGGAACCAATTAAAAAAATAGACAATAATTCTTCCAAATATTGAAACTTCTCAAGAAGACCCTGTCGCAAGTGTAACTTGTTGCCCAAAATAAGAGAGCTTCTGAAGATTTCTTATGGTAGTATTGTTATCCAATGAGAAAGAAAAGGAAAGAGAGTAGAAAAAAGACTTTTGAAAACACCACGCTTTTGCGAAAATTCCTTTTCTTAAAAATATCATTTTTTTATATGAAGTGGTCAAAATAGTCACATCTTTTTTTTTTTTCTAAAAATGTGTCTCAATGTCGACTTTCGTTTTTATTTTTCCTTAAAAAACATAAAGAAACCAGCCCTAAGTATACAACTTTTTGCTCACATTGATTGATCTGTTTTTTAAAATCCAGGACAAAGAAGTGGAGATTGGGCCATCGGGAGGCCTATAGACTAGCCTTTAATTTTCATACATCTGTTAAACGTAGACCTTCTGCTTGTGAAAAAAAATTTGACTCAAAACAATTTGCATGCAGCTAATAGTAATTGAACGGTAATCTCCAATTCTTGAACAATAAATCCCCCGACACTTTAATTAATTGTGCCAAGACAACCTTGACGGTTCACTATATCGAATTCTCTAGCTTAAACTTTTCATCCTTCTCTTATACTTTTGTCATCGTTCTTGACATTCACGTAAAAGAATGTTAGACTATAAAATGTGCAACTTATGCGATATTTTGGAAATCCAACTTTCGCTTTTACCAAATCAAGTTCGTACCTCAAAATACATGCATAAAGAAATATGCTAAGAAGTGCATTTAGGACATTCACTAATCGGCATCCAAATAAAGAAATATCGTAATCTTCAATATACCGATTATCCTCGAGATATTAAGCAATTAAAACATGTTTTAATAAGTGTCGGAAACCCTCTTTAATGAAACTCCTACATAACTATTTTTTTACTTTTGTGAAAATCCGATCAAGCGAGCACCATCAATCATCAGTTATATTGGGACCGTGGTTAGTGGGTTTTGCCCAACTGAAGATCCCGTGCATGGCGTTTACGTGGCTTGAAACGTCCCACCTCGTATTTACCAAAGGAAAACAAGAAGAACTTTTGACTTCTTCCTTCTCTCCGTCTAAGCTATAGTCCGGCGACCGCGCGGTGGCTCTTCGGTCATCACGATCGCGCGCCAAAGGAGATGCTGCCTCTCTGCACGTCAGATACCTTCAAGGGCAAAGGGTCCCGAATGGGCTTTCCCCCCTCCATCTGCAAGCATGAAGCTCTTACTGCCAAAATCATGGTGGATGTTCGTTGATGTCGGCTTTGCAGGATAGGTAGCGATGACACGACAACTACTGCTGCAATTCATGCAGAACTGCCTTCCATCTGCTGAGACAGACTCTTATCGCCAAGAAGACCAGCTTGCTAAGTTCCAACCAGAATAAACAAATCTAGGTCGTGCAGGTTTGGGTTCCATCTGAAGTACGATTCTGCTTTGATTTTCTGTCCTCTCTTCTATGATATCTGCTGCGCCTCCAGGAGCCTGCACAGCGGCTCCTTCTGCGAATCGAAAGCCTAAAAAAGTACCTTCTGTCCCTTTTACTTTCGAAAGAATGTACATCCCCGCTTCACAAGATAAACTCTTATATCTTTGGCGTTTCATGCTGCGGTTGTGTGGGGAAGTTGGTGGAGATAAAAAAGGATCTCGAGCTTCAGGATTTGGATTCCTGATGCGGGAGGCGATTAAGCATTCTGTGACACTGACGCTATTGGTCCTGTAAAGCATCGGCCGGTCAGAATCTCGATGGAGCGAGGGGGAAGCACTGAATACCTCAGATAAGGGCATTACAGTCAATTGCTCTCATCGGGCTGTGTAAAAAGCCATTTTGGCCGTGTATCATATAGGCACACAGTCATAATGAAGAATATCACATTGAGAGTATTTTAGTTCAATAAGCACCCAAACTTAATCCACTCGCTATACAACTTAATCTACCCAGTTTTCATCGAAAAGACAAAGTCACCCTCAATCATTCAATTGCCACTTAAAGTGGTGACCCAAAAATTATTACTTTCCCTTTTTTTCTTTAGTTTTTCTATCTACATGTATGATCAAATTTCCATAATAAGAATGGAGTGCTTGATCTTCAAGTCTAGGGAGGGACGTCGAAGCACAAGCTTTAGTTGTTTCACTCTTTGGATCTTAGTAGTCCAAAAGTCTGTCTGTTGTTTTGTTAATGTTAATGGTGGGTATTCCATGTATATTAAGAGGCACTTTGTTTTCTTTGACTTTATTTTTGTCAAAATTAGCTTTATTGAAGAAAAATCTGTAGAAAAATTGGTTCTTATCTACATTGTCGAGCAAATTTATGATTAATTGTCAAGTAGAATCTAGAAAAATTTCAACATAAATAACTATTTAACACGGTCACATGTTCATAAACTTTCATTTATTGTTTTGCATATTACCATCAAACTCTTTCTTATCAATTTTCTTTTTTTTTTATGTATATATATACATAAAATGGGATGATCGGATGAAGCAAAAAAAATCCTCTTTAAAGATTTTCCAAACAAAGACTACAGTTACACAGTGTGAAACTTTAAAAGATGAAATTAATAAAAGCTTTGCATAAAATAAGACTTTGTTAAAATGCCAATGATATTTCATGTATTGTGGATTGACAAAAATTAGTATCATTCGTGGAGAGTTGACGAAAAACTACTAAGATACCTTGATATGCATAGCTTGTTCACGTCGATATTTTTTAGTGTATTTCTTAGTATTCCGATGACGTCTTACATACTCCATGTAAAATGTCTCGCCAATAGTAATGAAACAACACAAATTATTTGATGTAGTAAATAAAGAAACTTAATTTATTTTAGACTAACAATATTAATAAAAGAATTCACCGGGAAAGTGAGTTTTGAGGTGGAGGAATAAAGAATAGATGTGTTGTTGTAAGAGCAATGATGAAGAAAAGACTAATTTTTATAATCTAAATAATAATAAGTTTAAATGTGACGGTAAATCGTGAAAGGAAAATAACTAGGTTAATAGAAACTATGCAAATATGTAAATCATTAAGGCCGATTTTTGTGCAAATATGGAAACTATTAAGGCCGATTTGTGTCTATCTTGTAAAAAAGGAGTGGATTTAGTCATATAGGAGTGGAAATAGCCCCAAACCTTACACACGATAATTATTTATGAATAGTCTAAGCTGTGTATTGTTTTATCTTTCAAAATTCAGTGGCTTATATAATTATATTTTTTATTACCAATTAATCTTTGCGAAAGTGTAGAGCACTTTTTATTTTATTTTTTGGTCGAAGTAGAGCACTTTTTATGAAATGTCGAAAAAGAAACGAGATATTTTCGACATATAATTAAGCAAGTAGACCTGAGGCAATTACAAACTTTATACAGTTGATGCAACAACATCGTCCATGTCATGAGTGAAAATCAGATCATATATATGTTTTCTCATCCCCACGTAGAACTCAAAAACCTTTCGTAGCAAACGATGGCAACTCATGCCAGAGAAAACAGAAAGCACCATGTGTGCTCTCTGAGTTTCCAGTTGCAGAAGTATCAAAACCCAATTCGAATCTTGAAGAGAGAGAGAGAGAGAGAGAGAGAGAGAGAGAGAGAGGCCACTGATTTCTGGGTTGGTGGTGAAGCAACAGACGAAACCAGGAAAGAGAGGGGAAAAATACAACAAAAGAAAGAGGAAAAACTGAAGAGAGACGCAGAACTTTTGAAACACCTGGAACCCTAACGTGCTCCATTCGTCCTCCTCCGCTTGGCCAGACCCCAACCCCCTCCCCTCCTCCCTCCACCACCTCATTACTCCACTCTCTCTCTCTCTCTCTAGCCCAATCGTTTTTCTTCCCGTTTCTCAATGCTAACCGCTGAACTCCAACCCAAACCAAACCCCAGTTCAACACCTTATCAGTCATCACCATCCTCTCGACTTTGCGTTTCTTTTTAATTCCTATCCATCACATGTCTTTATGCACCTAGACATACATGTGCGTCGTTGAGAATCCACACAGAGAAAGATCTAAACGCAATCCTCCATGAATGAATGCACATAGCCCACCTGTCTCCACTCCCTCACCCCCTCTTGCGCTCACCAAACCAAACCCTTGCTCCCCAAAGAACGAGCCAAAGAAAACGAAAAGGAAATGACAATGAGAACCCGAATGCAGCAGGCACACATGTCACCATGGCCTCGCAGCGTAATCACCAATGCAGATGAAAGTTCAAAAAAAAAGAGAGAGAAAAAGAAAAGCCTTCCCATAAACGGAAATATAAAGAAAGCCACACCACTCATCACGTAGAGAGAGACAGTAGAGAGTAGAGAGAGAGACAAATTTTTAGACTTCGGCCTCTTCTCAACACCCACCTCACCACCACCACCACCACCTGTAGCTCCTCCATCTGCAACAGACTCTCAGTCCCCCCCCTCCCCCGCTCACTCTCTCTCTCTCTCTCTCTCCCCGCGTCCCCTTTACACTGAAACCCAGAAGCCACGACCACCACCCACTCACTCGCCGTGGGGCAAAAATGATGATGGTGGCGGATCACGATGAGGATCGTGGGCTCAAGAACCACATTGCCGGGTCGGGTCGCGACGGGCCGGACCTGGTCGCGGCCGTGGCCACCCTCGGGGCGGTCCAGAGGAGGAAGAGGATGGCCAGGTTCAGGCGCCCTCGCGTCAGCTTCCTCCCTTTCCCCCGCGCCTCCGCCTCGCACGTGCCGCATTGCCCCCCGCTCCTCCAGCCCCACCCACGTGTGAGCCCCCCCATCCATTTATTTTTGCCCTTGTCATTTCTTTATCAATTGCAGCTATTCCTTTTTTCATTTAATCCCTCGTTAATAAAGATCGATGTCATGTTCCGCCTAATTTGGGTTGGTCAATGGGGTCACTGAAAATCCTCTCATTTTCAAGACCGACCTTTGGCTCCTACTATGGATCTTCATAAATTTCTTTTCCGGTAATTAATAAACAATAAACATCGGGTTCATATCTGCAGAGAGAAGTAAAATCGAAGCATAATTTTATCTAAATTCGAGAAAATCGTACGGTGGGTAGTTGGTTATTTTCGTTTCTGTTGATGAATTTGACGATCAAGTGAAGCTATACATGTAAATAGCAAAGAATATTAGGAAGCTTATAGTTTCTGAACATAGCAAATAAAGGGGCAAAATCAGGAAAATAACAAAGGGAACCGAAGAACGTTTTGATCTGACCAAGGTGCCGAGAGCTATCATTAGCAGAACATTGGGACATGAAATTTCGATAATATCCGAGGGCTTTCGCAGAAGAGTTCAAAGATATCTTCTGATTTAGCAAAGGGCTCAGCATTGATATCTCTTGGTCTCATTTAGTCAAATCTTCGTGTATAGGATTTATTAGATCTTCAATCCAACATGACGACTCCATGGAATTCCTATAAATAATAGAGATTATATGTATATATCTAGGGAATTTTCTTGAATGGCTTCATGTGGATATTTGGAGTCGATTGGTTCCGTTTAACTGCTCGCTAATGTTAACTTTCCTAATGGATATGACGGGTGATGGCAATGGATCTTCCATACCGTTTGGGCATTTTGAGTTCACCATATCTAGTAATTTTCTGGATCTAGTAAAGCATTATGTATGTCATTTCAGTGACAATGACTGTAAGTAACGATAGTCGTCCTTTACACAGCAAGTTATCTTGTTGGTATTAGTCTATGCTCGGACACTGATTTCACAATGGATATCCTTAGCTTCCTTGAATTATGAATTATGTTATTCACTTCAATTTGCTGCGAGCAATGATACATGTTCTGAGTATCCTCTTTGTAATAATGTCGCAAAAAATTTTATGACTCGAGTTGGATTATAGGAATTTGATCAACGGAGACTGAGGTTCCTCTTCCAAAAGGAACTCAAGAACAGTGATGTGAGCTCCTTGAGAAGAATGATACTCCCAAAGGTATATGCTTATGTCTCTACATCTAATTAACTTTGCCAGTTGTTACCATATGAAATTCTCAACTTGAGGCCGTTAGCGTTAACAAGTAGTAATTATTACCAACTATTTTAAATTGGTAACTACCATTATTTTAGAAAGCGGCGGAGACTCATCTTCCCACACTCGAATCCAAGGAGGGCATTCCCGTAAACATGTACGATTTGGATGGTCAGCACACATGGAGTTTCAAATACAGGTTCAAGTATACTACTATATTAACCTAAATCCCATTGGTTGCACATTGGGCCATGCCTATAGTAACCAATTTAGCTCATCTAGGATAGTTTTGGCCGACTATCATTAAGATGGAACATTGTGTTTTTTCCTCGCTTTTCTCTTTTAACGTAGTGACATTGCTGAATCAACATCTCTCTTCCAGATTTTGGCCTAATAACAATAGTCGGATGTATGTCCTTGAGAACACCGGTATGCACATCATTGTTTAGTTGATCAAGATTCACTTTTCGACTATTTTATCTCTCACTTTCACGATACTCAATAGGAACTTATATGGTCTTTTTTATGTCCTAGGGAATTTTGTCACCACACATGGGTTACAACTTGGAGACTTCATCATGGTGTACCAAGACTGTCAAAATGACAACTATGTAAGCTAAATGTTATGCTATATACACAAATGCTAATGGATGAATGAGCTTGAGAAAATTTCCAAATACATAGCTATTCTAATTATTGACAACAGGGATTCACTATAATCATCCCCATTTTCATAGGTGATTCAGGCCAAAAAAGCTTCTGAAGAAGATGTTTATACGGATATCGCCAAGAGCACCATCAGCGACTTGGCTCTTCAAGACCACTATGAGATGAACAATAACATCAACTCCTTCGATGAGAGTTACCCTGCGATCGATCAAGACGTGGAGATGTCATTTGTCTACGACACCAGCTTCTCGAATGACTCTCCGCTTGATTTCTTGGGCGGATCCATGACCACCTATGCCAGGATTTCCCCACCGGAAAGCTTCGGTTCAGTCGACAACTTGTGCCTCGATGACTTTTGTTGAGTTCATGATCTTGGTTTAGCCGAATTAAAGCCGATTTTTGCTAGATCTTGAAAAATGTTGAGTCGAGGTGACATGTTTTGGCCACGATTGGTAACTTTTTTTTGTATTGATCTTTTGAATCCATATATATATGCTTACATCTATGTAGCTTTCAATAAGAAATAACGAGTGTATGTCAAACTCTCTGGAATGCTTTTGCTGTACTGAACAGTCTGTTATTTTGGACTATTGTTAGTGAGTGTTGTGGGCGAATATACGAAGTTTTCGGACGACCTCCCAATTATTACCCCTACCGGAGAACCCGTGCGTGGCATTTATGTGACTTGAAATGTTCCAAATCGCAATTGCCAAAAGGAAACGAGAATTTTTTTGAGAAATGATTAAGTAACTATAAGATCAATAACATATTTTACATCATAAAAATTAATAAAAAATAATTATAAATTATTGTAGGGTTTACTCATTTAAGAATTTATGGATCACAATATGTTGTTTTTCTTACAATGGTCCAAAGACTATTATGTTAGCAAAGTCCAATTTTTTTTTTTATAAACGCGGGTCTCACTCAAGAATCAAATTTAAATTTAGAGATAGAGAACGAGACAAAGAGAGATCGGCTAATTTGAAATATCCAGAATTTACCCAAATTGACTTTTTTTGTTCAGCTCCTTATTTACCGCCCATTTACCAACTGCGCAATCAAATGCCCAGAAACAAAACTTTACAGAGTTAAGTACATCGAAAGACTCAATACTTGTCACAAAATTGTAATCGAATTTTAAAACTTTTAGATGGTACTAGGGGTGAGCGGTTCCTAGTTCGGTCCTGTCCAACCTAAGAACCGAGAACCAGACCGGGAGGACAGGTTCTCAGTTTCTAGGACTGGAGACCGAACCAGCTAGTCTTAGGACCGTTGACCGGTTCCAATAGGACCAATCACTTATTGGTAAAGGCAAGAGGGAATTAGGGAAATTAGATTAGGCTTTCTATTTTTTTAAAAAAAATTAAAAAGTAAATAAATATATATATGAAAAAATTAGAAAAATATATATTTATCGGTCTAGTCTCAGTCGGTCCGGTTCCCACTCTAGAACCGAGAACCGTACGCCCGGAAATCGATTCCACATTTAGGAACCGAGAACCGGAACGATATTCCCGAGAATTGGACCAAACCCGATTGGTCCGGTCCGGTCCCGGTTTAGGTGGTCCATCTTGCTCACCCCTAGATGGTACAATCGAATCCTAAAAATTGGAGAAACTTGTCCAGAAAGTCCTAAATATATTATACTTTCACTAATTCAGTCTTAAACTTTTGAATTGTGTCAATTGAGTTTTAAATCTCTTTACGTTTTGCCAATTAAGTTTATCTAGCAAATTTTAGCCGAAAATCGCTATTGTGGATGCTAACCGCCCTACGTGATACAATTAGTGTTAACATTGACAATTTTTAATTATATTTCAATATTTTTTTGAATTTTTTATTTTTCTTTTCTTCTCTTTTCTTTCTTTACTTTTTTCTTTCTTTTTCTATTTTTTTTCCCTTTTTCCTCCGCCGATTATCGCCTACTGCACATTAATACTTATTTTAAGTTGATGAAGATAAAGTAATAGTTATAGATCTTTGATGTTTTGATGCATGATGATGATTACGGTTCTTAAGGTATTCTTTGCCCCCACTATTATTGCTACCAGGTTTAGAACAAATATACCTCCATGATATATACCAAAACTGCAGAGAAACAAATTCAACAATTACTCAATTTCTCTCTTGAAATTTCACTTTGAATGTGTTATCAAAGTTTTGTATATGAAAAGAGAAGAAGGGGGAGTTACAAAGAAGAGTTGTTGTTTTGAAAAAAACGTGTACAATAATGTATGATTTGGTGCTATTTATAAACAACCAATCGACACATCTCTTGAGAATAGGTAATTTATCCCAACCATCACCCATTTCGTGATAAACCATCACAACTTTTCATGTCAACAATCACTTCTTTTCATAGAGAAAAAAGTCACGTCTTTTCATGATAACAAACTATTTCAACATTATCTGTATCTAGCGTGCGATTATCTCACCAAGTGCTAGAGGGGAACTTCCATGTTGTAGTTGATTGAAGGAGTTGTAGATCGAGAGAGCTCTAACAATTGTAATCCATAGACTCGATTTGTCTTGCCAAAAAACTAGATCTCTAGATATTCTTGCCAAATGTTTCTCTATCTCCAGATATTCCGTAACATTGCAGCAATTAAATTGACCAACGTTAAGTCATCTTTATTCTTCTAATCACCGCCACCGCGTGACATGGGGAGTGTCTGCAAGCCCTCGCCCCGCAAATCGCGGGTGCCCTCACCGGCGAAGTTGGGGGCGGCAAAGTTAGAGCCTAAATCTTTAGGCCATAGAAATGCGATAAATTTTTCCCACTTTCTTGAATATGGCTCCTCCTCCGTGTCATTTGCTTGTTGTATGGTTTTTGTTTCTCAGGGAAAGAGTTTGAATGGCTTGACATTGAACTTGGTGGTTACATTCAACATCTTCTACTTTACTTAATTAAGGTTAATAGCCATGTAGAAAAGAGAAAATAATAAATAAAAAAACACATCGGGTCTTTGCTTTAGCAAGTTAGGCCGAGTTAATTTTATTACTCCAATATTATAAGTTTTAAAACTCTATTGCACTATTTGAAATTTTAGGACTCTATCATATTTTCATGACAAGTTTTAGTTTTTTTGGTGCACTCATCCCTAATCTTATGCTATAAGATAAACTAATAAAATGTACATATTGCTCGCGCCCTTATAATTGAGTTTTAATACCAATTGACCCGAGTGAGATTAATCATTTTGCGAAAGTTTGGAGTATCTTTTTGGGGGAATGTTGGAAAAAAAAGAGCGTATTTTTTACATATAAAAGCAACTGGACCTGAGGAAATTAGAAACTTTATATGGCCGCACATAAGTCCAAAATTAAAGTGATGTCACAACCTTGTCCATATTACGAGTAAAACCTACACGTTTTCTCATCTCCACGTAAAAACTGAAAACCTTTCGCAGCAAATTATGGCCCTCATGCAAAAAAGAAAAAGAAAATAAAAACACCATGTGTGTTCTCTGAGTTTCGAGTTGCAGAAATATCAAAACCCATATTGAATATTGAAATGAGAGAGAGAGATAGAGAGAGCGTGTATTATGCCATAAAAGAGGACGAAACCTCCAAGAAAACTCCCAAGAAAACGCCATTGGTTTCTGGGTTGGTGGTGAAGCAACTAATGAAACTAGAGAGAGAGAGAGAGAGAGAGAGAGAGAGAGAGAGAGAGAGAGGAAAATGAGGAAGAAAAGCACAGAACTTTTGCAACACCTGGGACCCTAACGTCCTCCATTCGTCCTCCTCCCCTTGGCCAAACCAAAACCCCTTCCCCTCCTCCCCCCACCACCGCACCACCCCTATCTCTCTCTCTCTCTCTAACCCCATTGTTTTTCTCTTCCCGTTTCTCAATGCTAACCCGCTGAACTTTAACCCAAACCAAACCCTAGTTCAACCCCTCATCAGTAGTCACCACCATCCTCTCGGGCTTGCTTTTCTATGCATCACATGTCTTTATGCGCATGAACATTCATGTGCGTTGTTGTGAACCCACACAGGAAAAAGATCTAAATGCAACCCTCCACGAATGAATGCACATCGCCCACCTGTCTCCACTCCCTCGCCCCCTCCTGTGCTCACCAAAACGAAACCCTAGCTCCCGCAAGAAAACAAGCCAAGAAAAAGAAAAAAAGAAAACGAAAACGAAACCCCCGATATCACAATAATCACAATGGCCTGAATGCAGCATGCACACGTCACCATGGCCTCACTGTGTAGTCAACAATGCACATAAAAGTTTCAAAAGAAGGAGAGAAAAGAAGAAAGCCCGAAAACGGAAATGTAAAGAACACTCATCACTCATCATATATATAGAGAGAGAGACGATTTAGCAAAAAAAAATATATATATAGAGAGAGAGAGAGAAAGCAGAGAGTATAGAGTAGACAGAGAGAGAGATTTCTAAAAAAGAAATTTCCTTCGGCCTCTTTTCAGCACCCACCTCACCACCACCACCACCACCACCACCTGTAGCTCCTCCATCTGCGACAAACTCTCAGTCCTTTCTTTCTCTCTTTTTACACTGAAACCCAGAAGCCACGACCACCCACCACTCACTCGCCGAGGAACATATGATGATGGTGGTGGTGGAGGACGATGCGGATCGCGGGCTCAAGAAGAAGGCGGGCAATAACCACAATGCCGGCTCGGTTCGCGACGGGTCCGACCTGGTCACGGCCTTGGCCACCCTCGGGGAGGTCCGGAGGAGGAAGAGGATGGCCAGGCTCAGGCGCCCTCGCGTCAGCTTCCTCACCTTCCCCCGCGACTCCGCCTCGCACGTGCCGCATTGCCCCCTCCACCTCCAGCCCCACGCACGTGTGAGCCCCTCCCCTCGATAAACTCCCATTTTTCCTCTTTCTTTTTCTTTATTAACTGATGGTTCTCTTTCTCATTGAATCCCCCGTTAATAAAGATCGGTGTCATGTTCTGCATAACTTGGGTTGGTCAAACGGGGTCGCTGATGATCCTCTCATTTTCAAGGTCGATCTTTCGCTGTTGATATCGATCGTCGTAAATTTCTTGTCCGCTAATTAATGCCGTCTCTTTCTTCTTTTTTTTCAATCTCTAGTTACCGTCTAGGGTTTGGTGTCTTCTTAACAGGGCTTTTGTGCAAAGAGAAGTGAATTTGAAGCATAATTTTCTCTGAACTAATTACAGTGGATCGACCCCATATATCAATAACTTGGAAAAAAAAAGAAAGAATATCGCGCGGTGTGCAGTTGATTAATTTTGTTTATGTTGATGAATTAAAGATGAAGTGACGCTATATGTGTAGATAAATTAGCAAAGAAAGATGGCGAAAAACAGGGAAAAAGTCGGGGAGAAAATGGGGAGAAAATAACGAGAACCCAAGAACGTTTTGATCTGATTAAGGTACCGAGCTGATATAAGCTGACCAGGGGACATGAGATTTCAGGAATGTCCGAGGGCTTTCACAGAATCTAAAAGTTGGGAAGAGCTGTAAATATCGCGAAAATAGCATGTATGTAGTTGGTATTTATATCTATAACGTTTCTAGATATTTGATTCAAAAGAGGGAAAAAAACGTTCGCATATATCTTATGATTAGGCCCTCGGTCTCGTTTAGTCCAATCTTCATATAGAGACTTACTAGATTTTGATCATATACATATAGGGAATTTTCTTGAATGGCTTCCTGTGGAGACTTGGGGTCGATTGGTCAGATTTACAACTTCTTTTGGGTTGTTTATGAGCTTGTTCTGTTTAACGGCCGGCATTTACTTTGCTAATGGATAGCGGCTACCGGCAACGGATCTTGTTTACAATGGTCGGTTTAGGCGTTTCGAGTTTGCCGTTTCTAATAAGTTGTCTGGATCCACAAAAGCACAGTGTATTTCATTTGGGTGACAACAACCGTAACGTAACGATAGTCGTTTTTATGGTATGTTATCTTGTTGGTATTAGTTTACGCTCGGACTTAATTTGTCCATTAGTTTAGCCTGTAGATTTCCGCTTTTTTTTCCCACAAGGGATATCCTAGCTTACTTGAATTGCGAATTATGATCTTCACTTGACTTTGCTGCGAGCCTTGGTAAGCCTTGTGAGTATCCTCTTTGTAATAATCTCAGTAAAGCTTTGATGACTTGGATTTAATTATAGGAAATCGATCCAAGGAGACTGAGGTTCCTCTTCCAAAAGGAACTCAAGAACAGTGATGTGAGCTCCCTGAGAAGAATGATACTCCCAAAGGTATATTCTTAGCTTTCTACATATATTGAACTCTATTTGTCATTACTATCTGAAAATCTCAACTCTGGGCTATTTGCTAGTATTAACAGGTAGTAATTATTACTAATAATTTGAAATTGGTAACTGCACAAATTATTTCAGAAAGCAGCGGAGACTCATCTTCCTGCGCTTGAATCCAAGGAGGGCATTTTCATAAACATGCATGATTTGGATGGTCATCACACATGGAGCTTCAAATACAGGTTCGAGTATACTTCTATATTAACCTAAATCACAACGGTAGCACATTGGTCCATGCTTGTAGTGACCAATTTAGCTCACCTAAGAAAGTTTTGGCTAAGTGTAATTAAGACAGAACCATGTTTTCTTTCCGTGCTTCTCGCTGATGCAGCGACATTGTTTGACATCTCTCTTCCCACAGATTTTGGCCTAATAACAACAGTCGGATGTATGTCCTTGAGAACACCGGTATGCACGTCATTGTTTAGTTGAGTAAGATTCAATTTTTGACTTTGTTTATTTTTAGCTTTCTAGATACTCAATAGGAACTTACATGGTCTGTTTTATGTCCTAGGGGATTTTGTCACCATACATGGGTTACAACTTGGAGACTATATCATGGTGTACCAAGACTGTCTAAATCACAACTATGTAAGTTAAATGCTATTCTAATGCAAGAACGAGATTGTGACAATTTCCTAGTGCACAGCTATCTTGATTATTGACAACAGGTAATTGCTATAACTATCTACATTTTGGCAGGTGATTCAGGCCAAAAAAGCTTCTGAAGAAGATGTTTATACAGACATCACCAAGAGCATCATCAGCGACCTCCCTCTTCGAGACCGTGATGAGATGAACAGTAACATCAACTCCTTCGATGAGAGTTACCTTGCCATCGATCACGACGTGGAGATGTCATTTGTCTACGACAACAGCTTCTCGAATGCTTCTCCACTTGATTTTTTGGGCGGATCCATGACCAACTACGCCAGGATTTCCCCGCCGGAAAGCTTCGGTATGGTCGAGAACTGGTGCTTCGATGACTTCTGTTAAGGTCACGATCTTGATTAAGCCGAATTAAAGCTACCTTTTGCTAGAACTGGAAACAAATTCAGGGGGGAGGGTGACTTATGTTTGGGCCAAGATGGATATATTAATCTTTTGAATCCAGGTATATGCTTATCTATGTAGCTTTCAATAAGAAATAACGAGTGTATATCAAACTCTGTGGCATGCTTTCATTGTTATTATAAAATCAGTTTTTTGGTATGTATAAGGGAAGTGTAGTTGAGTATTAAAGAAGTTGCTTATCAAAGTAACAAAAAAAAAAAGTAATGTGACAATCCTTGTCATAAATATTGTGAGTAGGATTTTACATGTGGGTCACATTCGAGCACTTAATAAGAATTTGTTGCAAGATCGATAGTTTTATTCTTTTTTAAACTTATTTTTACATCTCCAATGTTATCTAAAACACAAGAATTATTATCTTTTGCTAACTTCGTTTTCCCCTTCATTAATCGACTATCATTCACTTCTCAATAACTTTTTCATAATCATAAGTTGGATAAAATCCATATTTCTCCCCGTAAATTATCCCGTATGTGCGATTTCATCCCTCGTAACTTCAATTTGTGCAACTTCATTTCGTAAGTCGTTTCTTGACGTACTCATAAGTAACTCATCTTTTTTTCTATCCGATCATTTCCTTTATAGATATGTACTAGCAAAATGTAAAATGGATTTTGTTAACAGCAAGATACTTGCTAAGCACATCTTATGAGTAACATCTCAATGCTTTCAAAGTAAATATTATACACCTAAGATTAGCTAACGCATCGAAAATCGTAACATTTCCCATTAGCTAACTAGCAAATGTCCACGAGCACGCGACAAACTCCTTTTACAATTTATTGAGTGGTCCCAGATTTTTAGAACTTTATACAAGTAAATCATTTGTATTTCCATTCCTCTTTCTTTTTTTTCTTTTCTTTTCAAATTAATTGTAAGATCGGATTCAACTCTTTGTCGTGAACTCGAGATTTCCAATGTAAGATTTCCAATGCTAATCATCGTCTAATTAAGCCCCAACTCCATAAAAAAAAAAAAAAGCAAAAAAGTGAACTCGAGAATTAAGCCCTTATTCTGCTGTAATATCATCTTTTGGGAAATAAATTAGATTGGGGTCATTATATTTCGGCTAAACTCCTTAATTGGTCTCTTAGTAAGCGCGTGCGTCGGTCTATCTAATTTCTCCCCAAAAAATGACAAGTTTACGTTAAATTATATCGCATACTTTTGCCATAATTACAAACTCCCGCGTGCGGGTACCATATCATCACCCCTCGACAAAAAGGAGATGATCGATCTGGATCATCCAAAGAAAAGGACCTCTGTAAGAGTCCATCAAGTTCAACACATAAAGGAAAGAAAATGAGATCCGCCATCTGTATCTATAAGTAGATAAGATGAAGCACACCATCAACAAAAGCCCGTCTAGCTCAGTTGGTAGAGCGCAAGGCTCTTAACCTTGTGGTCGTGGGTTCGAGCCCCACGGTGGGCGCGTGTTCTTCAGCGATTTCATTTTTTTGGACAAATGAAGCTCTAATATTATTACATTCCTTCTTGAAATATCCTTCAAGAATTTCTAAAAATGTGTATTAATGAATGATCGAGTGCAGACCCAATTCTTTTTTTAATTTTTTGTTTATTACCTTGGGGCTTTCCGAACTTAAAACGGAATATATAAACAATAATAATTAAACCATCTATCTAATTATATATATATCTAAATTAAAATTCCCATTTACCTCACTTTTAACTTTTCAAAATCATCTTTAAGACAGTCACCGTGATCTTTTTCGTGAATATGTACCCGACTCGCTGATATTAATAATCTCACATTATGAGCGTGTTTGTTTTAGTGAAGAAAAAATTCCTCGAATTAGTTATTTGAACTTCCACGCGTTTGGTTTGCTGAAAATGATCGATCAACGGAAAATCATTTACGATTAAAGAAAATATGCATGCTTAAAAGTTAGGAAAAATGAATTCCCTAACATGAAAAGGGGAAAACATTTTCCTTGAAAAAATGATTTCTCATGAAGTTTTCCTTGAAACATATACACACTATGAGTTAGTTTGTTTCATAAAAAAATGAATGATTGGGAAAATATTTTCCTAAAAATGATTGGTTTTATCGCTTAAAAAAATTAGTCAGCGGATAATATTCTTGTTATCAACAACAAATTATCCCTAAACATTTTTCCCATTTTTGTGAATGAATTCATCCATTCTTATGAAAGTACAAGTCGATGTTTTTTATTTAAGGTTTCGTTTGTTTCGCGGAGGATCGGGTACTTGAGTGTCGGGTTCAATGCCCAGCCTCAATGGATCTGGCGTAGGAACCAATACCAAAGTCTCAGGCTAGGCCTCAATAGACCTAGGCTGGGGCGCCGGGTTTCGGGGCTCGATCTCAATAGACTCAAGCCTAGGCGTTGAAGACCTGGGCTCGGCCTTTGTAGACCCAGGCCGGGGTTCTATAGAGCCGAACACAGGCACTGAGTTCTCGAGGATCCTGGCTTGAGACCCCGGTGCCCCATTCCGGGTTCCTTGGCTACCCCATGCGTAAATCACTAGCCTTTCGAATAGTGCATATCTATTTAGGAATATCAAATGAGATTCTCCTTATCAAGTATCAGAATGAGCTGGACACCGGAAAAATATATTGTTTTTCTTGAAAAACAACTTCTCGGAAAACATTTTTCTATAAATGTCATATTTTTCGCGGAGCAAATTATGCCCAAAATAATCGACTTTTCCGACCCAAAAAAATAATCCCACTTTGATTTTAAAAAAAACATGATTTCTTTGTTTAATAATATGAAATAGGATAGCACTCGCGAGTATTATAGTACGTGTCTCGACACCAATTTCTAATAAAGAGGAAAAAAAAAACAAAAGGAAAGAGGAGCGGCCCCGCAGCCTGTGCGATTTTTGGAGCGACATCGGGGCAAAAGAGAAGGAAAGGAAAGGAAAGGAAAGGAAGGGAGCTTCACCGCATCGCTCCACTCGGACGCACTCCGCCGCCGCCGATCTCCGCCGTCGCCGATCGCCTCCGCCTCCCTCCGCCTCCCTCCGTCCCCCTCCCTTGCCCGTCGGCGAGCTCGAGAGACAATGGCGAGCCGATACTGGGTGGTGTCGCTTCCGGTGCAGGGCTCCATGTCCGCCGCTTCCCTGTGGAACCGCGTGCAGGAGCAGATCTCCAGGCACTCCTTCGACACCCCTCTCTACCGGGTATTCTTCTTCTTCTTCCTCCTTCTTCTTCGAGATCCGACTCCGAAACGATGCTCTCATTCCTCCCCCCTCGATCTTTGTCGAATCATTGGAAGCTGATCCCGCCCCGATTCTGCAGTTCAATATACCCAATCTCCGCGTCGGAACCCTAGACTCTCTCCTCGCTCTCAGCGACGATCTCTTGAAGGTGATCTCCTTCCCTCCCTCCTTTTCGTGTTTTCCGCGCGGCGTGCGTGTGTTTTTGGTTTGTCTAGTTTGGGGATTGATCGGGGATTTCGAGGATCGCGAGCTGCTTTATCTGCTGGATTTTTTTTTTTTTTTTTGGTGGAGTGGGTGATCGGATGTGTGTGTTGTGGGTGTGGAATGCGCAGTCGAACAGCTTCGTGGAAGGCGTGTCGCACAAGATCAGGCGCCAGATCGAGGAGTTGGAGAGGGTGTCGGGCGTGGAGAGCAGTTCCCTTACAGTGGATGGTGTGCCCGTTGATTCTTACCTCACAAGGTATGTTTTTGTTCTTAATTGTGTCAGTACTCTTCTGGAGAATTGGTAGTGTCATAGAATTGGTGCCCGTGTTTCGGTTACGAATTCAATTTCAGGCCTTTTGTGGTGATGGAGGAGCTTGTGACAGTTTAGAATTGCTTCGTGTAACTTTTTTTTGGTGTTTTATTTACCTTTTGGCATGTGGGAGTAATCTTTCTGTCAGGAACTGAGCCTTGATCTTGCATGGAAGGTTTGTCTGGGATGATGCCAAGTACCCTACGATGGCTCCCTTGAGGGAGATTATTGACACAATTCAGGGACAAGTTGCGAAGATCGAAGATGATCTGAAGGTAAACCTCCCTTTTGCTTTTCATGTTTAGTCTATGTACATGTTATCTGTTGATGCCTTCCTTAGCTAAGTGAGGTGGTTGGTCCATGTGAGGGAGAAGTAGTTTTGCTTCGGTTTGCGTAAAGGAATGTCTTTCTTGATAGTCTAGCTGAGGGAGAGTATTGGGCATGCCAGCATTCATGTGATGAACATAGCTTAGCGAATAAGGCTTTGTTGGTTGATGATGTTGTTATTGTTGATGCTGCTGGAAAAGGTCTGCTTAGCAACTGTAGGTCATCAGACATCAAATTTGGCACCTCTTTTGTGAAAAGCTAACACAATGCTATCATGAACATTGCCTGTTAGTTCATTGATTCTTTTCCAAAGCGAGACATGTATTGATGCTTGAGTCTTAAAGCTATCTCTTGTATGTTAGGTTCGTGTTGCTGAGCATAACACTGTGCGGAGTCAGCTCAATGCTATCAACAGAAAGCAGAGTGGAAGGTGAAACTATTATCCCATTTGTGATTGGGCTATGGCATGAATGCTTCTATTACTCATTGCTTGATTACTTCTCTCTATACTTCAGCTTAGCTGTCCGCGATCTTTCAAATCTAGTCAAACCCGAGGATATTGTCATGTCAGAAAACCTAATAACTCTCCTCGCAATAGTACCTAAGTACTCACAGAAGGATTGGTTGTCAAGCTATGAAACTTTGACAAGTTATGTGGTAAGTGTTTCTTTTGTCTCTACATTCTCACTCCGTGTGCTATTTTCATGACCGCTGGCACTGCGTTACTATTACGATGAGTACTACCTTTGTTGCATGTAATGTGTTGCCAGGATAATATCTGCAACTCTCTGGCCTACTTTCTCCCTGCTTTATCTTACTAATTCTATATTATCATTCAGGTCCCCAGATCCTCAAAGAAGTTACATGAGGATAACGAATATGCTCTTTACACTGTAACGCTCTTTCGCCGAGTTGCTGATAACTTTCAGACAAGTGCTCGGGAAAGAGGTTTTCAGGTGTGCCTCCCAATTAGTTGCACTGGCTTTTCCCGATGCATGAATACTGAAAAAGTGACCAAACTCAACAACAGCTGACCTCAACTTGCCTATTTCTAGAATTTTTTTTCCTTTTGGAATTTCTTTCAGCTAAAGATTGTTCTCTCCTGGCCATGCTTTGTTCTTCCAAAGCATTTAGGTGCATTTAGCAAAGATATCCTTATCGTTTGAATATATCGGAGATTTGATTGATTGTTTTATGTTGCCCTGTAGATTCGTGACTTCGAATACAATTCGGAGGCGCAAGAGGGCAGGAAGCAGGAGTTGGAGAGGTTGATGCGGGATCAGGAGAATTTTAGAAGCTCCCTTTTGCAATGGTGCTATACCAGTTATGGAGAGGTATTTTTTTGTTATTCTTGATCTTGAAGCTGGGATGCTAATCTTGAAAGGAGATATACATCTGCTGTCCATCATGCAAAGCATCAGGCTTTGGTTGGACTCCGGTGCACTATTAAAACTGGGGAAGTCATGTAAACTGATAAATGTGATGAGATAACTTACGATTTCTAGATGGGGTTTCCTGACGGGAGATTTCTTACTGTCATTATCATTTCATATTTGCTCGAAAAGTGAGTGATGAGAGTTTATTAGTGTTATATGGCCTCTAATTTGAAGGAAATAGTATTGGACCTTTACCATGACAATAACGTTAAAGCATCACTTGATTCCTTTTCTTTTCTCGTTTATGTTTGCAGAAATTACATTATTTTGCTGTTGTATTTGTCTGTTAATTGCAATAACAAGTGCATTATACCATTTCAGTCGCTCTATTTTGCTTTGGCATAATTGTTATTGTATGGGTTGCTTAACTGTAGGTTTTCAGTTCATGGATGCACTTCTGTGCTGTGCGTGTCTTTGCAGAGAGTATTTTACGATACGGTTTACCGCCATCTTTCTTGGTGAGCTTGATGCCATAATCTGTCCCTTACTGCTATTGCTTTCATTATTTATAGTTGACTTATGTGGAGTAATTTGTTGATTTGGTTTCAGGCATGTGTTCTTGCTCCATCAGTGAAAGGTGAGAAAAAAGTGCGTTCAATTCTTGAAGGCTTGTGCGACAATACACACAGGCAAGTTAAACATCAAAAGCTTTAATTAATTTCAAACACATGATTAAATTTGTATTGCATCATGTTTCCTTTGAGTACTTTGGCTGATAAAATCTAGTGCCTAGCCTTTACAATGGTCAAAAGCGTAGACTATTCATGGCCAAAAAAGAAGAGCATAGACTATTGTGTCGTCAATTATGGATGTCACACTCCTGGTCTGTAAAGTTTAGGCTCAGTGATTGTGGTGCTATTTCACAATTGTCTTCTGGCAAGACCTATACGAGTTGCCCTTTTTTCACCTTACTGTGGGAGTCACTATTAAAACTACTTCCGAGAGCGATCTTCTGTGGAATTTTGATCTTGTTAATTACAGACCTTGGTGGCGGGCGTGGCACCCCGCTCCTGCCAGAGTTTGTTGATTAACTTTCTTCCTCTACATTCAAATTTCTATGTCTTCTCTTGTCATAGCTGGTGTTGCTTTGTCAAATTCTGTAACTTCTGTTGGTGTCGCTTTGTTCTTTCTCTCTCTCTACCCCATGCCTTGAATCGCTGACCTTGAGTTTGAATCATCTCAAGAACAACCACAAGCAAAAGGCCACAAAGAAGGCAGGCTATTTCTGTAACTTGTAGGAGAAATCTTTTTGTTTAACCTATCAATTGATGATGCGTATAGCTTTGTTTGATCTGAAGATTCGGAACTACAAAGAAGATGATGTAACTGCAAGCCTGATCTCTCTCTCTCTCTCTCTCTCTCTCTCTCTCTCTCTCTCTCTCTCTCTCTCTCTCTCGCGTGCGAGTGCGCGCACGGGTGCACGCACATAGTCACTGTCTGATGTTTGGTTTCGACATCTAATTAGTCGCACATTATCCATTTTTTTCTGCATAATATGGTTGGATACTAGATTAGTAACTGCTAATCATGCAGCCTTTCCTGAATAAATAATTGTCACGCACATAGTCACTGTCTGATGTTTGGTTTCGACATCTAATTAGTCGCACATTATCCATTTTTTTCTGCATAATATGGTTGGATACTAGATTAGTAACTGCTAATCATGCAGCCTTTCCTGAATAAATAATTGTTGACTTATTGATCGCATCTGTCTTAATTACAGTGCATACTGGAAATCTGAAGAAGATGCCGGAGGGATGGCCGGGCTGGGAGGTGATCCAGATTCTCATCCGTACGTTTCCTTCACGATCAACCTTGCTTGATGACCGTTGGAGATGGTCCAAGTCCCGGGAATTCGTCTGTTTAAGTAATAACAGAGGACAGGTATCAGCTGAGATATTGTATTATAGCATCAATAAACTTATTCTTTGGTTATTTCTCTGTAATTTTAGCGTTCTGGAGTTCCAAGTGGGGGTGTCTTTTTTTTCTTATTGAATGTGAGTGATGGTTTTGTGGGTATCCTTTTGGTTATTTATACTGTGGGTAGTAAGATCAATTGACGAGCATTCTCCATTTAATAATTATAGATATCCTTTTGGTTATTTATACTGTGGGTAGTAAGATCAATTGACGAGCATTCTCCATTTAATAATTATAGATAAGATTTTTACTTGTGCTGGTGAATGAGCCTTCTGAGTTTTGGGGATGGCGAACTTGAGATAGGGTTACGCTCAATTTGCCTGCTGAGGAGGGTATTTAGCAAAATTTATATTTCACGCCAGCACAAGAAAAAAATCGCCAACCGCGAATCCAACTTAAAGGGTAAAAAAACCATGAAACTAGCTGAAAAGAGAAGGATGGGACTACAGATTTATTCCCAGCACAACAAAAGTGAAAGGTTCGATTTCTTCGACATTGATTCCGAACACAACAAAAGTAGAAGGCTCGATTTCTGCATATTTGCGTTAGAGCTGATCGTTTCTTCTTTAATTCTTATATCGTTGGTGGTGAAGTGCGCTAACTGGACTACTCAGTGGAATGTACACGAGCTGAAATTAGAAACAGCTCCTCCCGCTGGAAGTAAACGTCTACCATATGCAGAATTAGGTGTCCCTTTTAAGTTTGCCGATACGCTTCTTTTAATGCCGAATTGTGCTGGTGCTCGTTCGAGGAAGCTTATTGCATATTCTGCTATACCGATTCACGAAATCATTGCTGGCGACGTGCCACGAAACACTGAAATACTCGAAGCTATGAACCAGAATCCAAGGTTCGTTGACGACAAATTCGTCACCGAATAAGGCTCACTGCAGTATTACCAGTTTCGCAAAGCTTCGGGGGCAACCTGGAGGTACTATCAAAGAGCATGCATGCAATATAGCCAAAGAGAACACGGCATTGGGTAATATACGGTCCTCGCCACGCTGCACCTGGACAGAGGGCCGATATCTTCAAGCAATATAAGTCACACAACACCGATTGCGGCTTCCATACGTCTCAGCTCAGCAGAGTTTAGGGAGTGAAGGACAGTTAGTGGGCATTGAAACAAATATAACAGCTCGTTTTCGGATGAGCAAGGCAAAAGAGATAACAAGAAAGAACAATGAGAGAGGATGTTTAAAACAAAATGCAAAATATCTCAAGTCTCCAAAAGTATACCTCCTGCTATGGCCCCCAAACTGTCTGTTTATTTAATTTCATGCCTCTGTCACCCTTAACGGGGGGGATTCAAAACCTTAGTTTCGACCGAATTTAGAACATAGGACCTAACTACAAAAAGATTTTAATAGATCCGAAGGACAGGACCTAGCCATCCTTCCCAGAACAAAAATCAGTCATGTAAAAAATTGAACACTTGAGTTCCGAATATGAAAGAATAGTCAAATCACTTCGAGAGCCATTGAACCAGCTCCAGCAAATCTACTATTATTACTTCCCATTGCAGATAAGTCTTCATGTCGGAGACAAATGCCAATCCCCTTGGTCACTAAGACATTCTAAACCTTGGCAAGCTCAGCAGCGGGGGCAGCAGCCGGAGTGACACCACCCGTCGTTGGCCTAGATTTAATTATAAGTCGCCATTAGTATTCAAACAGTTTATAGAGAAACTAAGTTTAAGAGATCTAAAATATCTGAGGAAAACTTACAGTCCCACAAAAACTTTGAATGCGTCGTAGATACCCCATTGGGCTCCAGTAAGTGTACCGATCATGACTATACGGAGAGGAAGACCACGGGTGAAGAGACCCACCAGACCCATTTGCTTCACAGCCTGCACAACGATAAAACAAACGGTAGTGAGTACAGCAAATATCAGATCCAAGCCAAGAGGCTGACGCCAGGGAAATACAGCAAGTGGAGCACTCACATCACCGACGGTTGCTCCCTTTGCGTTGTTGAGGAAAGAGACAAGATTGTCAGCAGGATGAGACACGATAGCACAGAAAACACCTGCCACATAACCACCAGCAAAACTGATCCCGAGCTGCAAACCTTTACTGCACTGATCTTTTGGTTGGGGAATGGCATATTTGTAGATCATCTCAACGATGGTCTCAAAAGATGCAAACTTCATCATCGTATCTGCAAGAAAATGCATGTTAGTTAATAAAGTTCCTGCAGATAGTGCTGTCAAAATCTCAAAATTGTATAGAAGCCAGCCTATGCAATAGCTGGCAAATAAGTAGATCAGGGGACTGATCCGCACAACAGCAAAGAAAGTCCCAACCCAAACTATCTTAGGGCCTATAGGCTATATATTTGGATCTGAATAAAAGCAAAAAGCCTGCCAAAATCGAAAATAGTATTCAAATTTCAGAAAATTATGAAAAATTTGTATGTGAATCTAAGTGTCAACATTGGAGCGTTGTGAAAGTTTCAAGAGTTTTGGATATAAAAAAAAAAAAATCAAAGTGCACAGGATTCGAGATTTAGATTAAGCAAAAAATAAAATTCAATCAAGACAGGCGCCTAAATTCTTTGCCAGCTTAAGCTATTTGCTAGGGACATGATTTCTGACATTACTTATTCACAAGATACCAGTGATCTTGACGAGTTCTCCATCATCATAAAGAAAGTTTCTTATTGCATGCAAGAGTCAACAAATTGGAAGACCAGTCGCCATAAGAAGTAAAACATGGGTAAATATCAACCAACATCCTCAAATGCGATGAGCTTTATACATATTAGTAATATTCTTGCGCAAAGCAGAAAAAATGGAGAAGCAAATAAACCACAACAGTGGCCACTACAAGAAGGTCAACTTCAGTAACAGGTAGCTTCGCTAGACCATTAAATGTATATATTGGTAGAAAACTCAGTAACCATGGGGACATATGATGCATTAAGACTATTGGATCTCTTGTTAGCAAATGGGCAAATTCCCATTCCCACACGTTGCTTACTTTAGCAACTGACGGATAACATGTAGTGGAAAAACAAGCTAACAAAACCAGCGCTCTTTGAAATTGAGCATGCGGAGGATAATATTGTGAAGATGGTTTGGTAAAACTACATATCTTAAGAAAAACAGAGGTAATTTGCCAAACTTACATGGTATTTGACGACCCCAGAGAGGAACAATGCCCTTGTATAACCTGCATTCATAGGCAGGAGAAAGTTACAACACAAACAAGACTATGACTTGGCTGAACCAACAAAATGTCGGCTGTGTTGGACACATACCCTAGAGCGCCTTCAGATCTTACAAACTTGGGTAATCCATCCGACAGACCTCTTGCAAATCCAGGCTGTGTTTGCACTCTGACCTTCACTGCTTCGAAGGGGCAAAGGGCAATATCGGCTATGACCTCAGCAGATGCAGAACCCGCTAGGTAGATCAATGTCTTGTACTTGGTTGCATACTCAGGCCCAGCAATGTCAGAGTAATATTTCTTGAAGTACTCGTAGAAGCCAAACTTGCAGGCACCTTGGGCACTGTAACCAAGCAGAGTGGGTACCCAGCCCCTGAAAAAACCTCTGACGCCCTGCTCTTTCAATAGAACTCCAAAACCAGATGAAATGCTCTTGTACTTTGCAGGGTCGATCTGAATTGTCACAAGACACGATTCATAAGATGTCAATCGCTACATTTCAACACCAAAAAGAAGACAACACTCCAAAACAAGCAGACCGCCCACGTAAAGTAACTTGCCAAATCTCCATATACCCCACAACACATTGTCCTTCATCGGAAAGCAATTCAAACCATAAATCTACATAAGAACAGCCAATACGTGGCCAAATTCTCAAAGGCACAAGAAGGAAACAGGATCGCGGTGCATCACATTCATGGGTATTGTTTACACGGTGAGATCTAACACGCGCTCAGGGGGGGCAGCAAAAGTATTCACTAACACATTGCCAGCTCAGGCAAAATCCGAGCTCTCCACGCATACATGACCACCTTTTCCGATGCGGACAGACCAGAAATATGGCAAGCGAACAGCAAAAGGCGCAACCAACCACGCCGCAACAACCAATCGCGATCCTTTCCAATGTCTCGGTCGATTAAAATCGGAGAGATACTCGCAAACTAAACGAAAGATCAGGCACACCAGCTATCGATACACGCGTACACACAGACATCCGCAGAACACGAGAGCAAAGGATCCAGTCCCCAAGACAAATCAAATCAAATCACGCGCGCACGCGAAAAGAAGGAAGGAAGAAGAGCGAAATCCGAAAAAGGAGCAAACGCGGGGAGATATCGCCCCCGAGGAAGTCGAGAGCGCGGGCGGGGGGAGGGGCGAGGGGCGACCTGCATATTGCACTTGACGAGGTCGAGCGGGGTGACGGACATGTGGGTGAGGCCGCAGCTGAGGATCCCCCCGAAGGTGCAGGCGGCGTAGAACTCGGGCGAGTACATCTCCATCTTCCTCGACGGCTCCTTGGGCGACGGGACCAGGAATCCGCTCCGATCCGCCGCCGCCGCCGCCGCGGCGGGGGAGGACCGGGGCCCGGAGGAGCCGAGCATCTTCTCCAGGTACAGCGACTTGGAGGAGGAGGAGGAGGAGGCGGCGTAGAGGAAGCTGGGGATCAGCGGCGGCTGCTGCTGCCGCCGCGGGGAGCTGGAGTTGTCGGCGAACGCCATGGATGGTGGGCGGCCGAGATCTGCGAAATGCGCGTGTAGTAGCAAGAGAGAGAGAGGTTGAGGGGAATGAAGGGTTCTTCGTTTCCAACAATTTCCTCCGTGTAAGAGAAAGCGAGAGGGAAGGGGGCCGGCGATTTTATGGGAGGAACCCTCGCGTGATGTCTACTGCGACGGCGGGCCCCCCCCCCCCCCCCCCGCCGCTGAGCATCGGCCCTCCGCTTTCGCCGTTAATTGCGATACTGCCATTGGTCAACGGAAGCTGGCTGCGACCCGGCAAAAATAAAAAATAAAAAATGAAGGAATATTTTTGAGGATTAGGGCTGTGCACCGATCCCGACCTCGAGAAACCCGGACCGTATGGAACCCAAACTGATCGGTTCCGAGCGGTTTTCGGGAGGGCCGGTTCGGTTCCCGGGTTCCACGTAAAGAATCAGATCAGACTGACAGACCGGCTAATATTTTTTAATTTTTTTTATTTTGAAGCAAACTGTAATCAGTAAATTATCTCTTCTTTTATTATTGAAAAATCCAACCTATAAAGAATAGAAGAACCAACGAATAAAAAAAAAAGAAAATCACTGCTCCGAAATTAGGCGGGTTGGTTCCCAATTCCACAAACTGGGAACCAATCCTGTTCGACCCGTTTAAGGTTTCAAGGTAGAAACCGACCCGCCTTGGAACCGATTACTTGTGTTGCTGGTTTGAATATTTGCATATGGGTTGCATGGTTCGTGTGGTATTTTACATCTGGTGCATGTGATATACATCTCAATAGATTTATAAAAAATTCTAGAATCTCTCCTTTTTCATATGTCATCGCCGTGTGATACGAGGGGTAGACGAAATATTTTCTTGTGTGGGGCATGATATATGAGAATGTCCAGAGGTGCTCACAGCCATAGTTGCTCGAGTTTAGTGGAGCTTGGCCATGACCGTTAGGGATTCGTCGAGCTCGACCATGGCCTCCTCATCTTCCAAACTTCTTCAAGCTTGATGAAGCTCGAGCATTTTTGTTGTTGCACGTGCGGGGTCCATGTTCTCAATAACTTTGTTTTTTTGGTCTTTGTCCTACTTTAACTTTCAATTCGCTATTAAACTTTTGTCCTGTCTCATTGTAGAACGGGGGAGTCGAAACTCACACCTGAAATTAAACGTCCCCACTCCCCAACCATCCTGAAAAGGTGGAATTCGAACTCCCCATCTCCCCTTTCCATGTGGGAAGGGTGTCCACAGGGTCAACTCTCGATGGTTTTCTCAACAACTTAGGTTTGTAGCTAATGAATGATATCGAGAATGAAAGAAGAAGATGAGCTCTAAGTTGGTTTCCTTTACACACATTGAATTGCCAACGATAAATCATTTGTTGTATATAACAAAAAGAAGAAGATGAACTTCTCAAAAGAATCATTTTTATATAACGTTTAACCGAAGAAGATTGATGTTAACATACATCCAAGAGAAAAATGACACAAACAGTCCATAAATTTTGGTTCAATGTGCAATTTGGTTCATGAACTTTTAATTTATTCAATGTAGTCTCTAAACTTTATGCCGATGTTCAATGTGATCCCTGGACTTTTAATTTGCTAAATGTCATCCTTGAACTTTTGGTACATGTTTAATTCAGTCCCCGAATTATATGAAAATGTTCAATACAGTCATTTCCATTAATTCAAGTTCAAGGATTGCATTGAACATTTTCATATAGTTCAAGGACTGAATTGAATATATACTAAAAGTTCAGGCCTGACATTGAGCAAATTAAAAGTCCAGGGACTACATTGAACATTAATCTAAAGTTTATGGACTACATTGAACAAATTTAAAGTTCAGGGACCAAATTGCACATTAGGCTAAAGTTCAGAGACTGTTTGTGTCGTTATCCCTATATCCATGGTGCAAATTTTAATTTGTTAATGAGCTGTAGAAGATGAGCGACAAAATCACATCGGCATTTTCCTATGGTTAAATTTGATGAAGCTAACGGAGGGACTTGATTACGCCAATTCGACAAATTTCATGATTGGATCGCGCTTATCAATTATACTTTTGCGACAAGTATTAGACTGTTTGGTACACCTGCTCTTTTTCCTAATTGGATTAAAAGAAAGCCCATGCATACTACCCAATTTAATGTCTTTTTCAGTAAAGGTGGTCACGATGAAAAAGGGTGCCGTTCAAAGCCAATTCGCATATTACCTAGTGGCCGACGAAAATGCGCATCTCCACGAGGGGTAAAACCGTGATTATTGCGGGAAAAAAGGGGTAGAAAATTATGGTGTATAAAAATATTAAAAGAAAGACGACTCCATGGAGAAGAGTCCCAAGGCATATTCCCGCCAATGTTTTTGGAAAAATCGATGGATGTCGACCGTCCATTTCGAAACTTTGACCAAAGCAAAGCATGGAGCTTTGGCTCGATCAAACGGTGTTGCAGCGCGCTGCGGGTGTGATCCTCAAGATTATTCTGATCGACGGAAAATCCCAAACTGATACACTTGTGACGAATTTATCCCGAATTAATTTTTTGATCACCAAAAACCTCAAACTGGTACATTTGTGATAAATTTACCCTCCATTAAATTGAATAAATACAAAAAAAAAATCACAAACTAGTATACCCATGATAAACGGATCCGTCAACTGTCACGTGTCATTTAACTCGGCAATTTGACGGTAAAATTTAAACGAAACTAATGGAGGGTAACTTTATCACAGGTGTACCAGTTTGGAGTTTTTGGTGGTTCGGGGTAAATCTGTTACAGATGTACCGGCTTAGGGTTTTTCGTGATATTAACCTCTTTTTTTTTAAAATAATTATGGAATATTTCTTGTTGAGCTTATTGTCAAAGCTGCTCGAGTTTCATCGAGCTCGGCCATGGCTGCCTCAGCTTCCCGGCTTTTTCAAGCTTGAGCAATCCTGCTAGTTGCCGCCTCCAAATCACCGTCGTCTCCTCTTTACTGCAACCATGATGAGCCCCTCTCTCTCCCTCCCTCATATGACTTCATTGTATCGATTTAATAAGTTTTAAGATTTAATTTCACTTTTTGAAAATTTAAGTAATTAATTTTACTTTCTCAATAAGTTTTAAAACTTCCGATATACTTACCTTTTCCTCGGAGGATTACAAGAAAGTCCCACTTAATTGCTTACGATACTCATATTACCTAATTGCTAACGATGATGTGCATCTCCACGAGGGGGTGAAACCGTAATTTGTGCGGGAATAAAGGGTCGATAAACCATAGTACCTAAAAATATTAAAAGAAAGACAAACTCTATGGATTATAGTCCTAAAGGCATATTCCTCCCCCCATGTTTTTGGAAAAATCAATCCATATCGGCCGTCCATTTCAAGCGTTGACCAAAGCATGGACTTTGGGCTGCGGGCGTGAACCTCAAGATTACTTCGGCCTCGTGATTTATGTCGAATTCGAGTCAAACACTCAAATTACTTAACTACTCTTTAATGATTTGACTTTCTTTTTCGAAACTCAATACGTCCAATTTCTTCGTCCCGTTTCATCGAGTGACACAAACGAGCGAGCCAAGCTTAATGAATTAAGCACGCGATTTGTGAAATCAAAATATTTTATTCTAGTTCACTGTTATATAATAAAAGAGTTTCTCGGTTTTTTATAAATAATTATGGAATATTTTAGTTGACTTTGACTATATTTATGCGTTCAGGCGTTGTATATAAAGATGGTTCCAAACTCTAGAAATTCGAAGAAAATTATAACAAAAATTAAAGAAAGAGAAAATAAAAGTTACACCTGATTTATAGAGCCAGAACATTTTTAACGTAATATTTTCACGAGATAGAAAGAATTAATTATGATTAATCAATCTCACTCAAGAAAGTTGATTAGCCAATCATTTCTTTGGTGATTTATCATGATATTAGCGCAATATGATCATATATTTTCAAGCGATTTGAGCTTAAATCGTGATTGATTCTATTCACGGCAAGTAATCAAGTATCCAAGCCTTTGGAAAAAACTTTGGATGAGGATCGCATCTTATTCTGTAATAATTCTTTTTTTGTTAACTTTTCATCCCACTTTCTAAGAATAGCAAGAATATGCTTCTCGTAACAAAGAACGTTCATATATTCGTTGATTTTGAATTTTCAAATTCAACTTTGGCGTTATGTGTACTTCTGCCCATGAAGCTTGACTTTGACCAAGGTGTTATTAATTAGGGAAAATACTATAAAAAAACCTCAAACTATATCACTTGTGATAAATTTATTCTAAACTTTTTTTTATGACACGAAAAACATCACTTGTGATAAATTTACCCTGAGCCTTTTTTTATAACACAAAAAACCCCAAACTATACCACTTGTGACATAATTACCCCACAATACTTTGACCCATGGACATTTTCGTCTTTTTCCTTTTTCTGTTTTTTTTTTCCTTTTTTTTCCTTTTCTTCTCCGGCGAGCCCCATAATACTTTGGCCCATGGGCATTTTCATTTTTTTCCTTTTTCTGTTTTTTTTCCTTTTTTTTTTCTTTTCTTCTCCGGCGAGGGCCGGCGTCGGGATGCCCATGGGCGGAGACAAATGCCAATCCCCTTGGTCACTAAGACATTCTAAACCTTGGCAAGCTCAGCAGCGGGGGCAGCAGCCGGAGTGACACCACCCGTCGTTGGCCTAGAATTAATTACAAGTCGCCATTAGTATTCAAACAGTTTATAGAGAAACTAAGTTTAAGAGATCTAAAATATCTGAGGAAAACTTACAGTCCCACAAAAACTTTGAATGCGTCGTAGATAACCCATTGGGCTCCAGTAAGTGTACCGATCATGAGTATACGGAGAGGAAGACCACGGGTGAAGAGACCCACCAGACCCATTTGCTTCACAGCCTGCACAACGAGAAAACAAACAGTAGTGAGTACAGCAAAATATCAGATCCAAGCCAAGAGGCTGATGCCAGGGAAATACAGCAAGTGGAGCACTCACATCACCGACGGTTGCTCCCTTTGCGTTGTTGAGGAAAGAGACAAGATTGTCGGCAGGATGAGACACGACAGCACAGAAAACACCTGCCACATAACCACCAGTAAAACTGACACCGAGCTGCAAACCATTACTGCACTGATCTTTTGGTTGGGGAATGGCATATTTGTAGATCATCTCAACGGTGTTCTCAAAAGATGCAAACTTCATCATCGTATCTGCAAGAAAATGCATGTTAGTTGATTAAGTTGCCGCAGATAGTGCTGTCAAAATCTCAAAATTGAATAGAAGCCAGCCTATACAATAGCTGGCAAATAAGTAGATCAGGGGACTGATCCGCACAACAGCAAAGAAAGTCCCAAGCCAAACTATCTTAGAGCCTATAGGCTATATATTTGGATCTGAATAAAAGTAAAAAGCCTGCCAAAATCTAAAAAAGTATTCAAATTTCAGAAAATTATGAAAAATTTGTATGTGAATCTAAGTGTCCACATTGGAGCGTTGTGAAAGTTTCAAGAGTTTTGGATATAAACCCAAAAAAAAAAAAATCAAAGTGCACGGGATTCGAGATTTAGATTAAGCAAAAGATAAAATTCAATCAAGACAGGCGCCTAAATGCTTTGCCAGCTTAAGCTATTTGCTAGGGACATGATTTCTGACATTACTTATTCACAAGATACCAGTGATCTTGACGAGTTCTCAATCATCATAAAGAAAGTTTCTTATTGCATGCAAGAGTCAACAAATTGGAAGACCAGTCGCCATAAGAAGTAAAACATGGGTAAATATCAACCAACATCCTCAAATGCGATGAGCTTTATACATATTAGTAACATTCTTGCGCAAAGCAGAAAAAATGGAGAAGTAAACAAACCACAACAGTGGCCACTACAAGAAGGTCAACTTCAGTAACAGGTAGCTTCGCTAGACCATTAAATGTATATATTGGTAGAAAACTCAGCAACCATGGGGACATATGATGCATTAAGACTATTGGATCTCTTGTTAGCAAATGGGTAAATTCCCATACGTTGCTTACTTTAGCAATTGACGGAAAACATGTCGTGGAAAAACAAGCAAACAAAACCAGCGCTCTTTGAAATTGAGCATGCGGAGGATAATATTGTGAATATGGTTTGGTAAAACTACATATCTTAAGAAAAACAGAGGTAATTTGCCAAACTTACATGGTATTTGACGACCCCAGAGAGGAACAATGCCCTTGTATAACCTGCATTCATAGGCAGGAGAAAGTTACAACACGAACAAGACTATGACTTGGCTGAACCAACAAAATGTCGCACGTGTTGGACACATACCCAAGAGCGCCTTCAGATCTTACAAACTTGGGTAATCCATCTGACAGACCTCTTGCAAATCCAGGCTGTGTTTGCACTCTGACCTTCACTGCTTCGAAGGGGCAAAGGGCAATATCGGCTATGACCTCAGCAGATGCAGAGCCCGCTAGGTAGATCAATGTCTTGTACTTGGTTGCATACTCAGGCCCAGCAATGTCAGCGTAATATTTCTTGAAGTACTCGTAGAAGCCATACTTGCAGGCACCTTGGGCACTGTAACCAAGCAGAGTGGGTACCCAGCCCCTGAAAAAACCTCTGACGCCCTGCTCTTTCAATAGAACTCCAAAACCAGATGAAATGCTCTTGTACTTTGCAGGGTCGATCTAAAATGTCACAAGACACGATTCATAAGATGTCAATCACTACATTTCAACACCAAAAAGAAGACAACACTTCAAAACAAGCAGACCACCCACGTAGAGTAACTTGCCAAATCTCCATATACCCCACAACACATTGTCCTTCATTGGAAAGCAATTCAAACCATAAATCTACATAAGAACAGCCGATACGTGGCCAAATTCTCAAAGGCACAAGAAGGAAACAGGATCGCGGTGCATCACATTCATGGACATTGTTTACACGGTGAGATCTAACACGCGCAGGCCCGAGCAATCACCGAATGCGATCAGGGGGGCAGCAAAAGTATTCACCAACACATGCGAGCTAAAGCAAAATCCGAGCTCTCCACGCATATATGACCCACCTTTTCCGATGCGAACAGACCAGAAATATGGCAGCGAACAGCAAAAGGCGCAATCAACCACGCCACAATAACCAATCGCGATCCTTTCCAATGTATCAGGCGATTAGAACCGGAGAGATACTCGCAACTACACGAAAGATCACGCATACAAGCTATCGATACACGCAGAAAAACACAGACATCCGCAGAACGCGAGAGCAAAGGATCCAGTCCCCAAGACAAATCAAATCAAATCACACACGCACGCGCGCACGCGAAAAGAAGGAAGGAAGAAGAGCGAAATCCGAAAAAGGAGCAAACGCGGAGAGATATCGCCCCCGCGGAAGTCGAGAGCGCGGGCGGGGGAGGGGCGAGGGGGCGACCTGCATATTGCACTTGACGAGGTCGAGCGGGGTGACGGACATGTGGGTGAGGCCGCAGCAGAGGGTCCCCCCGAAGGTGCAGGCGGCGTAGAACTCGGGCGAGTACATCTCCACCCTCTTCGACGGCTCCTTGGGCGACGGGATCAGGAATCCGCTCCGATCCTCCGCCGCCGCCGCCGACCGGGGCCCGGAGGAGCCGAGCATCTTCTCGAGGTAGAGAGACTTGGAGGAGGAGGAGGCGTAGAGGAAGCTGGGGATCAGCGGCTGCTGCTGCTGCTGCCGCTGCCGCGGGGAGCTGGACGTGTCGGCGAACGCCATGGATGGTGGAGGAGGGAGAACTTGGCGAGATCTGCGAAATGCGTGTGTAAGAGAGAGAGAGAGGAAGGGGGTGGGCGATTTTATGGGAGAAACCCTCGCGTGATGTCTCTGCTACGAGGGCCCCAACCCCCCCCCCCCCCCCCCCCCCTCCCCGAGCATCGGCCCTCCGCTTTCGCGGTTAATTGCGATATTGCCATTGGTCAACGGGAGCTGGCTGCGACCCGGCAAAAATTTACAAAAGAAAGGAAAAAAAATTGTGAGGAATATTTTGAGGACTAGGGCTGTGCATGGATCCCGACCTCAGGAACCGGACCCTACCGAACCCAAATTGATCGGTTTCGGGTTGGAAAACCTCAACCTGTAAGGAATAGAAGAAACAAAAAAAAAAAAGAAGACCAAAGAATCATCGAAAATCGATTATGTCCGGTCCGATTCCAAGTTCCAAGACAAGAATCGACCCACTCTAGAATCGATCGCTCGTATTGCGGACCAACTAATTCTCGGGGGTTTGAATATTTGCATATGGGTTGCATAGTTGGTGCGGTATTCTCCATCTAGCTCATGTGATATGCATCTCAATGAAAGAAGAAGATGAGCACTAAGTTGGTTTCCCTTACACACATTGAATTGCCAACGAAAAATCATTTGTTCTATATAACAAAAAAGAAGAAGATGAACTTTTCGAAAGAATCATTTTTATATAACCTTTAACCGAAGAACATGAATGTTAACTTATATCCACGATGCAAATTTATTTTGTTAACGAGCCGAAGAAGATGAGCGATAAAATCACATCGGCATTTTCTGATGGTTAAATTGGACGGAATTAACGGAAAAATTTGATTACATTAATTCAACAAATTTCAGGATTTGATTGCGCTTTGCAACAAGTATTAGACTGTTTGGTACACTTGCTTTTTCCCTAATTCGATTAAAAGAAGGGTTACTACTACGGAAAACCCCAAACTGGTATATATGTAACAAATTTATCGAAAATTAATTTTTTGACCACAAAAAACCCTAAATTGGTACACTTGTGACAATTTTACTCAAAACTAATTTTTTGACCACAAAAAGCTCTAAAATAGTACATTTGTGACAAATTCACCCTCCGTTAAATTGGATTAATATCACGAAAAATCACAAACTAAAACACCCGTCGTTAAATCCCAAATCGGTACGCTCGTCAACTGCCACGTGTCATCCAATTCAGAAATTTTATAGTAAAATTTAACGGAAACTGACGAAGGATAAAATTACAGTTTAAAGTTTTTAATGATCAAGAAATCAATTTAGATAAGTATATTAATTTAGAGTTTTTTTGTGGTATTAATCCTTAAACGAAAGCAGCTGCATGCTACCCAATTTAATGTCCTTTTCCAGTCAAGGTGGTCACGATGAGAAAGGGTGCCGTTCAAAGCCAATTCGCATATTACCTAATTGCTGACGAAAGTGCGCATCTCCACGAGGGGTAAAACCGTGATTATTGCGGGAAAAAAGGGGTAGAAAATTATGGTGTATAAAAATATTAAAAGAAAGACAACTCCATGGAGAAGAGTCCTCAAGGCATATTCCTCCCCCCACGTTTTTGGAAAAATCGATGGATGTCGACCGTCCGTTTCAAGATTACTCCGGGCCTCGTGATTTATGTCGAATTCGAGTCAAACACTCAAATCACCTTAACTACTCTTCAATGATTTGACTCTTCCTTTTTTTGAAAACTCGACACGTCCCATTTTCTCTGTTCCGTTTCATCGAGCGACACGAGCGAGCGAGCCAAGCTCGCTCGATGAATTAAGCACGCGATTTGTGAAATTCAAGATATTTTATTCTAGTTTTATGTTGTAATAAAAGCGTCTCTCGGTTTTTTATTAAATAATCATGGAATTTTTCAGTTGACTTTGACTATGTTTACGCGTTCGGGCATTCTGCGTTGTATATAAAAGATGGTTCCAAACTCTAGAAAGCCGAAGAAAATTATAACAAAAGTTAAAGAAGGAGAAAATAAGAGTTACGCCTGATTTATAGAGCCGGAACGTTTTTAACGTAATATTTTCACGAGATAGAAAGAATTAATCACGAATAATAAATCTCACTCGAGAAAGTTGATTAGCCAATCATTTCTTTGGTGATTTATCGTGATATCAGTGCAATATGATCATATATTTTCAAGCGATTTGAGCTTAAATCGTGATCGGTTCTATTTACGGCAAGTAATCGAGTATCCGAACCTTTGGAAAAAGCTTTGGATGAGGATAGCATCTTATTCTGTAATAATTCTTTTTTTGGTAACTTTTCGTCCCACTTCCTAAGAATAGCAAGAATATGCTTCTCGTAACAAAGAACGTTCCTCGTTGATTTTGAATTTTCAAATTCAACTTTGGCGTTATATGTACTTCTGCCCATGAAGATTGACTTTGACCAAGGTGTTATTAATTAGGGAAAATATCATAAAAAAACCCCAAATTACGTCATTTGTGACAAATTTACCCTTAATCTTTTTTTTGTGACACGAAAAATTTCAAACTATGCCACTTGCGACATAATTACCCCATAATACTTTGGCCCATGGGCATTTTCATCTTTTTCCTTTTTCTGTTTTTTTTCCTTCTCCGGCGAGCCCCACAATACTTTGACCCATGGGCATTTTCGTCTTTTTCCTTTTTCTGTTTTTTTTCTTTTCTTCTCCGGCGAGGGCCGGCGTCAGGCTGCCCATGGGCCAAAGTATTGTGGGGCTCGCCAGAGAAGAAAAGAAAAAAAAGGAAAAAAAATAAAAAAAAAAAAAAGAAAAAGACGAAAATGCCCATGGGCCAAAGTATTGTGAGATAATTGTGTCACAAGTGGCATAGTTTGAGATTTTTCGTGTCACAAAAAAGGTTCAGGGTAAATTTGTCACAAGTGACATAGTTTGAGATTTTTCGTGTCACAAAAAAAAGTTTAGGGTAAATTTATCACAAGTGGCATAGTTTAGGGTTTTTGGTGGTATTTTCCCTATTTATTTATTGTATTGTCTTCGCAATTTGTTTTTCTCACTCACTTTTGTACTAAGAAAAACTAATTTTAGTTATTTTGTCTAATGATATTATGATTTGATTTAATTCCCAATTCGCGATTTATGAACTCGGAATTTTCATTTACGATTGAAATTTCAATTTCGCGGGTATACTTTCTGAAGCATGGAAAGTTCAAGAGCCACTTCCCTGGGAAATAGGCTCGAGTATGACATGAACACCTATGCTTGGATGTGGGATGGCGAGCGTCGTTGGAATGGGATTGGCAACAGGAGTAGGGGTATGCAAAAGAATCGGGAACCGCCTGGGACTGCCCGGAATCATATCGGAACCGGTGGTTCCTAAGGAAACCGGTCCGGTTCCCGGTTCCAATTTTTGGGAATCGGTGGGTACCGATCCGATTACCGGTTCTAGGTGTGAAATTGTCTGCCCGCCCACCCGGACTATACCGGTAATATAATAATAAATATAATATTTTTTACTTTTATTTTTTTTTAAAAAGAAAAATCCTAAATCCCTAAACTAAACCTAAATCGCTTGACGCTCATAGCCTCATATTGAGCTAAGAAACACCTTTTTTCGCTTTCGTCTCACGCTCATTCTCACTCTCTTATTCTTCTCGGTTGATACTCACCTCACCGTTTCCGACTCTCCATCTCAGTCTCCGTCTCCGTTTCCATATTTCCGTTTCTTTCCTTTGCTAGTGGGACCGGTTCCATGGACCCACCCAGGAACCGGACCGCACGAAGATGGCAGTCCGGTTCCCGGGTGGATCCATGGAACAAACGGGCTGTTCCCGATTTCAATTTTTCGGAACCGGTCCTTAGTAGGAAGTTCCCGGTTCTAAGGTGGGAACCGCATGCCCGGACTATGCTCATCCTAGACAGGAGAGAGAGAGAGAGAGAGAGAGAGAGAGAGAGAGAGAGAGAGAGATGACCGGAGTGACAGCCAGGATGGAGGTGGCGGTGAAGAAGATCTTCGGACGAGTCGGAAAGTCGAATGTATTGCCCAATCCCAATTACAACATGGAATTTATATCCGAATGTGCGTGTCGGGTTGGCTTTCTCAGATAAGGATATTGCCCAAGCCCGCCCATTTTCCTTTTCGAGCCGGAAAGGCCCATTGATCACCTCTACAAGACGACGAGCCGGTGATGCTGGTCTGGATGAGGCTGTGGTGGAGGACGGCAGGCCAAGGTTGGGCAGACGCAGTGACAGAGAAAGAGAGCGGCTTCTTGCCTTTTGGTTCCCTAGGAGTTTTTTTTGGTCGAAAAAAACTTAGGTCATTTAACTAACAAGTAGCGCGACGATGACTAGCATCAAAACATAACAAATCTCGGGGCTTAGACACCTAATTAGAAGGAAGGGGACCTAGACGATGGGCTTTTGCAATCCAATCCGTACAATGATTTGCTTCTCGCGGACAATTAACCAAGTAGCGGTGGGATCTGGTTCGATATGAGGTGAGAAATTCGTGATTGGTAGGATTCGGACAGATCTTGAAATCGTGTGAAATACTTGAAATAATCATACAACTAATCTACCAAGGAAGGTAAGATTTTTAAGATTGAAGGGAAATTGGTGAAATTTAATGAAATAGTTTGTCTAAACTCCCGCGAATTTGTATAACAGATCGCAGAGACAGAGGCTGTAACAATTGTAAGCTACATCATGAAATATAATAAGAAATTACAATAACCCGAGTGGTAAAATTCCGTAAAATTATGGATGGACATAAGAGTACGTGTCGAATCGGTAGGTTCAATGTTGAACACATAGATTCTTCTATGATTCGGTATTTTTAGGAATTCGTCCAATAAGTCCGTCGTGTTTCGGATTATGAATAGAGTACGAATTGAGAATATACCTATAATTTACGAGTGACGACTAATGTTTGCTCGAAAATGCCTGTAGTGCAGAACAACACAAAGGGATGTCATAATCTTGTGATGAAGAAAATCTAACATTTGGGAAAGATTTTGACCGGGGATGGACCCGATTCAAACTTCCGTAAAAGGGAATTATGAGCAATTAATCAGGCTGCGATTCAAAAGGATGAATTTTGAAATATAGGAATCCCTTGTATGGTAAGGGACGTTAAGGAGTGCTCTGGGGAAATTCCTGACGTGCCTCTTTTAGTTTGTCCTGCTGAGATTTCAGCTTGATCCCGAGCCTCTCTTCTGGTTCTTTTGGCTCACGAGTCTGAACCTGTTCTTCTGAGTGATCCCATGCAATGGCGAATGAGAAGTTCTGCTGTACATGGGTTGCACTTGCAGATACCACCTCCAAGACCCACCAGTCCCAGAGGCTCCATGAAGCTCTCTCCTGTCAGATCTCTCTCTCTCTCTCTCTCTTTCTCTTCACGCATGTGTTTTGCGTTGCTGGTGTGTCTGTCAGGGGTCCTCGTGCCCGCGTGCTTGGCTTGTTGATTTTCAATACGTGACATGTATCTTCGCATATTTATTATGATTTGATGAGTGGGGAGAGAGGGAGACTGGGAATGGAACATGAGAACTCCTGTGATCCTGATAGAAACAGAACATCAGATTACTATGCCTATCCAATAAGGATTGAAAAGGTGCCCATTTTAGACTTGTCTTTATGTTGATATGGCCCAATTCATTTGTATAAGCTGACTTCATTTCCCTTCTCAGTTCATTTGCAATTGATCAGAAAGGAATCCACAAGTGCTGGCTGGTTCTTGAACCATTTTTTTCCCTCTTTGGCAAGAAAGAACCTGTTTATCAAATCTAGAAGCCTGAAATCATTATGTTTTGCATTGAGTGTTTGATTTTCTCCGAGAATGGGCTTCGGACAGCTTAAAGCCACATTTGTTCTTGATTCGAACAAAATTCTCCTCGACCTCTCTCGATATCGATTTCGAGCTAATATTCCAGGCAAGTATGAACACTTCTTGGAGATTATATCATCTCCTCTTTCTCACGAGGACTTGTCATGATCTCTGGGTAAGTGTGAATGCATTATAGTTTACTACGGGCACAGTTAACCGGGAAAAATTAAATTTACAGATGTGTATGTCAATCTACTCTTCTGTTTAATGATGTAGAAGAAATTTACAGCTATGAATTTCTTAGTGAAGGTTAAACATTATATACTCGATCTGGATAATGATGTAGAAGATGGAAGCAAGCAATATTACTACTTTAAAGTTGAATAGTTCTTTTGTCACTTTCTTATTTTTCAAAACAAACCTGCGCAAGCATAAACTTGGTATTAGTATTGTTCCTGTGAATTCAATCATTCCAAATTTCATTGCAGATGTAGACGAAAAAGTGGGTGCCATTAGAGCACTTGTGGAAGATGATGGTGACAAATCACAAATTCTTCAAATCCTTGAAGAAATGAAAAAGTCTTACTGTGCTTTAGCAGAGGGCCATGACCAGTTGAGATCCAAGTTCAGTCACCTCCAGGATGCAAGAACTTCAGCATCCCCCTTCAACCCCAAGATTCTCCTTGAAGGCGTCGACAACGAGGATGCATCCGGAGTCTCTGAGAGCCCTAAAATGGACAGTCTTGATTCCCGCCCAGAGTCTGCCGTCATAGATCCTGAAGTGGAGTTCGACAACTTCCACTTCGAGATCCCGGACAAGTTGGCCAATGGGATAGTCCTGGATGAACCTACCAGTGCCAATCTGAATCTGATAAAACCGATTGGTGGAGAAATTCATGAAAAACATACTGACGTGCCCACCATAGAAGAAATCATTCCTGTGATCCACGGTTCTGAGACTGATCGGGAAGTAAATGGAGATGACTGGACTGAACATTTAGGGTGGGAGATGAATTGGAATGAGCTGAAGGTGCAGGTCACAAAGTTGATGGAGGAGAACCTGCAGAAGCAAGCAGAGCTGGTGAAAAGAAACGAAGAGAAGAGGGGAATCATCAGAGGCCTCAGGTCGCAGCTGAATGGCTTGAAGGCCGAGAATAAGGCGCTGCAGGACTGTCTCGTCTGCTCTAAGGCCGTCCCGAAGGGCATCCAGTTTCAGATGACGAGATTGAAAGGCCTAGTCTTGAGTAGAATTTTCGGAATAAGTTCTCGGTGACGGTGTTAGGGAGATCACAAGCCACTGCATTGACGCACTCAACTGAAACGAATCACTTCAGCTAATAAAGTTAATTCTCTGGTCATACCCCAAGCAGCACGCGGCCTCGCCTTAAAATCGCAAGCAAACATATAATGAGCCCGTGTGCTGCTTTCCTTGTTCATATGTAGGGTGCTTTTCTTGTTCATATGTATGGTGCGGAAACATTCTCGTCAAACCACAGACTGTGTAGGAGTCTTCTGCTTCAAATTTCCTATCGACTTTAACTTCCAGTAATAATTGTCTGTCAATTCCTAGTTTACCTTCAATCAGATCATACATCAGAAATTCAATACCATGTTGACATGTCAATCAGGACAACATGATTCTTTCTGCCCCACAGTCAGTTTTAGATCAACAATTCCAAACATTGGATTATCCGATGTCACTCTTCGACAAGAACCTGTATCAGTGCTACAAAGAATCACAAATACAAAAAGGTCAAACTCCGGGCGACTGTTCTATTTTCTTTTTTTTTTCTGCTCGGAGTTCACGAACATGGAGGAATAAATATATGATAGATTACAACATCAATGCAAGTGTTTGCAGAGGTCAAAAGAATCACTCAAACATACAAATCCAAAACATAAACCATAACTCGATAATCAATCCCCAATCTTCTCGGTACCGAGCTTTGTGTCTGTCAAGTTCTCCATCTAAAGGAGCCTCAGGTGCGAGGTATCGTTTAATCTTTTTATCTGCCACCCCGTTTTCCAGGAATGTTGTAAGGCTGTTACTGAGGAATCTTCCACGCAGATCTTATGAGACATTAGCGGACTGCAACCCATAATCCCTGTGATTAGACACTTTATCGCAGTTGGATGCGTAAATATACCGACACAAGAGGCAATACTGGAAAGAGAGCTCCTTTCACTTAGATCGTGCAGTGTGTTCTGGGGATGCACTTCCTGAGGAGAATTTTCATCTTCGGGATCATGATCTCCGGTAGTAGTTACATACTGAAGCCTGCTCTTCCCAGATTTTTTCTTCGCAAGTCCCTGCCGGTGCCTGTGAAGCAAATCGGAGCGGGGTGATGGGAGGGAAGGACCATCTCGGTCGCCGATAAAATTAGATGAAGCATATGCATTCTGGTGGGAGTATCGATGGTTCTCATTTGCACCGTGGAGAGAGAAATCCAAGCGCAACTTCTCGTGCAGACCGAGCACGGTTCCATTTAAGAAGTGAACCATTCTGAACTCCACCTCCCTAAGTGACTCTCCACCCGGCGCAGAAAAATCAGGCTGAAGTCTCTCCATTACACCCAAAATTTCAGGTGTATATACTTCTGACACAGGACATCCCTCCCATTGACCTTGGCTCATCTCTGTAAGCGCATCTGACAACTGAATCTGTTCCAAGGAAAAATTCATTTCCTAGACAGAATCATAAACAAATGAGTGGTCAGTTCAAATCATATAGAGTCAAAGACAGGATGAAAACATTCTTATATCACATAACATTCTCTCAACTAACTGATATGACATTAGCTCAGGGTGTGGGCTGTTTACAAGGTGTTTGTCGGCGTAACCAAAGAAGATCGCAAACTGCATTGGGGTCGCTCAGCTTTGAGAAGACCCTTGCTTTGTAATGTGGGATTGCCTGATACTCACCAGATGACAAGCCACCACAAAATTTTCTCACAAGCTAAGCTTCTTAGATATAATTTGGTGGTGTCTACATTTTCTTGAAATGGTTAGCTTAATTACTCATGGACTTAATGAAGAAAATGTTGTCTGTGACTCTCAACCCCTGTCACGTTTCTCATCCACTTCTTATGTCTATTCAGTAGTTTCTAGGGCCTATGAACTTGACCCAACTGCTTAAATTGACTTTCCTTCGGAACCAATGTCCACTACGAATTGACCAGTTCCACAGTTGCAAATCATGGTTCCACTCAAGATCTGAACAATCCCGTTTAAAGATCTCAAGATATATTGATAAGGCCTCCATATACCAGCAGCCCTGCATTGGCATTCCATAGAGAATGTTTCCACAGCTTGAACGTATGATCCTAGGACCTAGGTCTCGATGGGCTATTTACAGTTCTACCAAAGGTCACCGGCACTAACTTACCAAAAGCAACTGAATATTCTGATAGATCAATGAAGACGATGATCCCTTGCTATCATTAGTTATTTATGCACCCGTTATCCTAAATACTGCCCAAAATCCTATCCACTTCAATACGATCCATCATATCACATTTCAAGCAGTTGAGGTTGGCGCTTCTGACTCGAAACTGATTAATACTTTCTTGCACAAGTTGAATATCCAGTGTTAACACATAAAATTTGCAACTGTAATCAGCAAACTAGATTGCATTTTCATTGCTAGTGTATATTCTGCTTAGTTCCTCCAACTCATTGTATCAATCCCGACAAAATTCAAGCTCTTGATGCTCCCAAGTCGACAATGTATACCACAATCGAGAATTGACACTTTATGATTCCAAAGAAGCAGACACCACCTTAATCCACATTCTCCAATTGCACATAAAGAACCAACTCGGTCAAAGCAGCAAGCAACCCAATTTAAAGCTCATCCAACGAAAAATCCAACAAGAATCCAATTTTACCTGACAAACGAAAGCTGCCATCGACCTTGCTCGATCCAGCGGCGAAGAATAAACCGCGCCGAACCGGACACCGTGCGAATTCAGCAGCACGGCCAAGGCCCTGGCCTGCCGCTTCCCGTTGGTTGTCAGCCCCGCGGCAGCGCACCGCCCGCCAACCAAATCCGGCCTCAAACTGGCCTCGCACTCGCCCTGGCTGATCAAGAACACCTCCGTCGTGACGGCGCCCCGGTCCTCCTCCATCGTGCTCGAGGAGAAGCTCCGGGAGAACACCGGCGGAGGCGGCGGCAGCGGCGGGGGCGGCGCGAGGACGTTGTAGGGGTCCCAGACCTTGATCGACGGCCCCATCCGCGGCGTCCCGAGGGTGGAGAGCTGCGGGGAGAGCGGCGACGCCGACGCGTAGCACGGCAACATCTCCGGCTCTTGCTCCAGGACCTTCTTCACCAGGTGGGTATTGCTCAACTCGCTCCTGCTGAGCACCGCATTCTCGTCTTCCTCCTCCTCATCCTCTTCCTCCTCGTCGCCGTCTTCTCCCTCTTGGCTCTCGTCCTCGTCCCTCACTTCCTGGACCGAGTGAGAGGATCCCATCTCGATTCCGGCCGCCGGGGAGCTCCGATCCAACCCGCTCCGATCGCTAGGATCCGGGTCGAAGCATCAACCAGGCGGGTCGATCGCCGAAGCAAGGCGCGAGATTTCCGATACCCAGATGACCGCCGACTCGAAAGATGAAATGGGCAGAGCTCAAGGACGAATTTTGCCGCGGGTGGAATTCGTGCTTGGATGGATTGATGCTGGAGATGGGCAACGGAGAGAGGGAGAGACAGAGATCTGAAGGAATCAGATAAGATCTGGTTAGATCATGGGTGCCTGCGTGCTCGGCGGGTCGGGTTTTCCGGCGGGTCGGGAATCGAATCTATCAGATTCAGACTCAGAACCAAAATGCTCAATTTGCTCGGACGAAACGAATCTCGAGTTTCCTAAACTCGTTGCGGAGAGGTGGGGCAGTGCTGTCACCGGCGGTGACATTGACTCGATGCAATGCGGAGCATGTGAGCCTACTTTATCTCACCCCGGTTGAGTAATGTGCACCTTGCATAAGATTCGGGTCAATTTTTCGGGACGGGTCTTGATTCGAGTCTAAATAAACGAACTTCCACATGGTTCTGTCTGTGTCGGCCTCGGGCTGGGATTTTTGAAACTCGAATCATTGACCCCCTTACGTAAGACCTACATTATTTGATGATTGAAATGAAATATGCTCGCATGTAAAGCTAGACATTTGGGTAATGGATGTGTTGTGAAAATAGAATGGTGATGTGACAACTAATAGGTGTTGTGCCATTTACCTCCTTAATTGTTTCAATAAAGAAAGTTCATTCTTTTCGATACGTTGTTTCTCGAATTATTTGTAATCAATGATTGAAAATGGTAATACTATGTATGATAAATCATTATCTTGAAAGTTCTCGTTAACGAAACCCTATTACTATTACTTCTATTCTACTATTACTAAATTGGCCACGAGGATTGAATTTAGGGTTTTGACAAACTGTTAAAAGACTTGGCACATCATCAGAAGTTAGGATTAAATTTGTCAAATTGAAAAGTTTAGGATTAAATTGACAAAAATATAATAAATTTATTATTTTTCTTGTAATTTTCTCCTTACTAAACCTATCAATATCCTTATCTTTAGCTTTTATGCCTATTGGTGAAAGGGTGGGGGGAAAGACCGGCTTATTAAACCCGTCCTCACATTTCCATTGGCATGCAAAATATGAGAACGATTCGCTTACAACATGGCTCAAAGACAATATAACCCGTTTATCTTTGAGTCACCATAGTCAGTGGCATCACCATCTCAAGTTATTATTGATAAAAGTTGACATTGGTTATAATATGGGTGTTTTTGCGAATACTTAAAGATCCCATTCTTGTATAACTATGACCGTCCGATCGTAAAAGAATAAATCTCTACCGTTCATTAGAAAACTCGAGAGTGTTTGTGCGGTACGACATTTGTGTCGAAAGTGCAAAAAAAAAAAATCACGTTAAGATTGAACGCTTTTAGCAACACGGATTGACAGCCCATTATATTCCCCGTAATCGGGAAACATAATAGGGATATGGATAGTTGATTTGAGCTTAATCACAATCTTACTTTGGAGCAAGTGCTGCCTATATAATTGTCCAACAAAAACTGCTGCTTCTCATGGTTTTATCTAAAAGATCATATGAATAATATATTCTCGTACTATGTTCTCCACACACTTTAATAAGATAGTTACTTTGGAAAGTGTATATAATTTAAAGTAAGTGTTGAACTTCTTATTTGAGTGTTGGTTCGACGTTAACGGACAATTTCCTCCCTCTCTCTCTGTCGCCGCGGCAGATCGCCGGGCCGCTCAAACGGGCGCTCGACTACTCCCCTGAGCTCCTCCGTCCTCGGCCAACCGGCATCGTTCAGCGGCCATGTTAGAACATAGTCAACAGAAATAGGCTGATGAGCCTACTATTTTGATTATATTGGGCTGGGCTTAAGGCCCGCCCTTGACCCGACCCAATTATTATTTTTTAGACTTCCTTAATTTTCTGATTTTATGTTATATAGTAAGAAAAACCAATCGAAAGCATCTGATTCCCTTTTTCTGGTCATTAGTTATAAGGAAAAAAAGCTCATGCTATTGCCATAGCCAAAACAGCAGATTCTCTGCTTCCCTTTGCTAAAGCAACAAGGAGAAAATTGCATGTGAACATGAAGCATGATCTCTGAGGGTGTTTATGGTTTGGTTTGACGGTATTTTCGGCCCAAACCCAAACTAATTCGATGGGATTACAACTCATACCGAACAAATAACTTTGGTTTGTTATCGATTAGGTTCGGGTTTTGTTTCGTCGGTTTGTTACTCCGTTGAAAAATCTTTCACCGAACGCTGATTTTCGGATTTTATTAGAGGAAACCTGGGTCTTGAGTCAAGCTTGGACAGAGAATGTCAAATGCATTTATTAATCCCAATTTAGATCTTACACCCTGACTCGATATGATGTCAAACTCGATAATACTAACCATGCAACAACAACTCGCAAATATTGAAATTAAGCTATGCCGGAATTTAATCAACGACACAACTTCAAAGTACGTCAGAATTTAATCAATGACGTAACTTGAATGAATACGGCTGGAATTTAATCAATAGCTATACTCTAAACACAGCGCCGGAATTTAATCGACGACACTGAGCTAGTGGCACAACACTGGAATTTAATCAATAATGCTGAACCTGATAAAGACCCTCGTCGGAATTGAATCTACGACACAGAATCCGAAGACCATGACTAAAAACTACTCCTAATGTGCTTAAGAATAAAGGTTAAATAAGAGATGTGTTGTGTTGTTGAAGAAGATCCTTTCTACGTTGGAAGTCCTTGAGTATTTATAGAGCAGCTTGACAACCGTTCCTTGAAAGTCGTTTTCCACTTCCTTACGTTTCGTGCTTTAACCGTTTCCTGACTTGTCGATATTGCTTACGCTCCTTGGGCATCACGTAGTAGCTAATTTTCTTCCACGTGTCATTTTATTTCTTGTTATCCTTGACGCCCATGATCGTGTCTTTACCTTTTGACACGTGTAAATGAATTTTTCACCACGTATTACCATGATTTTGCGCAAAACTCGCGATTCTGAACTTTGTCGACGTCACGTGCAAAGCTTGTGATCTGGGACTCGTCGACGTTACGTGCAAGGCTTAGATTTGTCGACATCACGTGCAAAGCTCGTGATTTTAAACTTGTCGACACCTTTATGACGTGTCCTGTCGACAACTGCCTTTGGGCCTGACTTACGGCCTTTCTCATATTTTTGCCATGTGGGCCGTACTTTATATCTTCTGTAACTTGTGGATGGCCCATTCCCACCAAGGGTAATTTTGGGTGTCAACAGGTTTAAACCGTTATCATCGAACCGATTTCCTCGTAAGAATTTTAATACGGATTAAAGCTATCTAGCTTTAACGTGAAATGGAAAATAACAAAGAAAGCACCTATTTCTACACACTTAACGAAAAAAGGGAACTTAATCACAATTAAATCAAATTAAATAATTGAAACATTAAAAGTTATTAGTTAACTCAAAGAAACAACACAAAAGATCATGCAAAACTTTTTCCTAAGTATTATTATTTGAGATAAAATAAGTAAATCGATAATGGCCAACTTGAGAAGTAGAATTTTTCCATTCAATAGCATAGAGGAATTTCAGATAGGAAGAACTTAGTTAGGCCATAATGCAAATATTATTAGTGAAAAGGAAAATAAATTTGTTTGCTAAACTCATCGATTTGGTTCAGTTTGATAGTTTTTTAAAGTTATGAAAGTAAAAAGTTGTTTGACAGGAAATGAAATTTGAATCATGATTTTTATGATTTTCTAAATAAACATAAAGTAGTGCACATTACTACAAGGTCTTGACAGGCTGACAACATACTTGATAATATTTTAATCTTTTATTGGATATTTTATAACTTAACTAATTCAGTAAGCCCTTCCTTACTTACCACATTGAGTGGCTTTTGACTTAAAACAATCAGTTAAGTTGTGTGTAATTAGAGTTATCGAACGCACTTACTAATATTAGGTGCTGAAAAGCTGAATTTTCAACGTTAATACAGTTATCAAACACACCGTCAGTCTCATGAAATTAAATTCCCACTTAACGAATGGACAAATTTTTACATCCACGTGGGGGAGCGAATAGAAAGATTATTATTCATCATGACCGCCGTCGTCCATCTCAACTACTTCCTTAGCCATCTTTGATGGCCTCGCGACCATCTCTGGCGCACACCTTCCCTCCACCTCGCGAGATGGAACCGACCTAAGAGGCTTTCAATTGTGTTGTGCCGGGGGGTCTGCCGGCGTGGAGGGGACGAAGCCGGCGTTGTTTCAGCGGCCAAGCTGGTGACAGCGGAGGACGAGGTCGGCGGTCTTCAGCATAGCGGGTTCGTGTTTAGAGAGAGAGAGAATGTGGGTTGGAGGGGAGGGGAGGGGAGGAATAGGTTATGCTATATTATTGGGGAGAAATCCAGATTTGGGTGATTGAAAGGGCATCGCAAGCTGCCATGCTTTTGGGCAGCAACGTCAACGCCGCTGTCTGGCAGCAACCAAACCTTTTCCTTGCATATATTGTCGCAAACAATACAGCCTTATTAAGCAGCCGCCCTTTTGTTTCGTCGAAAATAATTGTCAACAAATCACTTTTCCCCAAAGTTTAGATCTTTGGGTTTTTGAGTGAATTGGGTTTTGGGGCGACTCCAACCGTAGAAATTTGTTATAAGTAAATTGAACTGTAGAAATTTGTTAAGTGCTGTTGATTACGGATCTTCTATCACTGATTCCATTTGGCCTTTTATAACCTAGTACAAAATATAACCGTTTTTCGACGGTTATCTTTTACCTTCCAAATTCTAACTACTTCTGAGATTCTAGTCTCAACTTGATTGTCTCCAACAACACGTTCTTATCTACAAATGGTTACAACCCATGGGTTATCCTTCGGGTCAATTCTTCCTTTTGCAGTCTTCCTTTATGCTATTGCGATCGACCCCTTATTACTGTGTACCGATAACTGTTTTATTCAATCACCTTTCATCGAGAACATAATCAACCATCTTAGTCACCATATGTTGAAAACCGGTCTTTGCCTATAAACTTTCATCGATAACAACATTAGCCACATAAGGTCATTTGATAGATAACTAGTCCTAGTTGATTAGTTTTCATTGATAACGTCATCGACCACATAGTACTGACCTGCATTCATTGCCGATTTATGACAATTCTTACCGGTTGCCCTATCAACGACTCGATATAAACCTCCACCGATCCATGAAGGCTTGGGTTATTTTTGGTGTCAACACCTTCGAAAAAGTTTATGTCCTCTAATGATTATTTGAGACCCCTATTTCAACAAGAAATGTCGAGAAGGTCTACTTAGGTGACCACATGGATCCACATGGGATACTTTTCCACAGTACATGCCATCTTTCAACT